TCATCGAGCCCTTGACCCGGCTGGTGGGCACTATCCGGCACGACGAGAAGAGCGAGGTCGCCCTCATGAGCAAGAACAGTCTCGACGCCGACTTCTCCAGTCTCGAGCGCATGGTCGTCGACTTTGTCTGCACCCGCCCGTCCCAGGACCTTGGTCTCGCCTCCAGTCACCCTGATGCGCTCGACCTCATCCGCCAGGGGGTGCGGCAGGGCGACCTGACGCCCGTCCTGCGAGCGTACGAACGGGACCTGCAGCGGCCCTTCATCGGTGCCATCCGCGGCGACCTCGTCACTGCCTTGCTCATCCAGATCCAGAAGACCAAAGTCGACGTCGAGGTAGCCATCAGCGGCATAAACTCCATCCTTAAGAGCCAGGAACTTGTTTTTGCGTACGTCTACGTCTATATTTCCCGGGTTCGTTTCTCCTTGTACTCGTTCTCCAGCTTGCTAACCCATTACATACCAGCTTCATCGGACTTACTCCCAGTATCCTGGTGTCCTATGCCACCGTGCAGTGGGCTGCCGGCCTCCTCGGCAGCAGGAGAGGCCTACGACAGGGCCAACGACGCAGCGAAATCGTCCGTTCTCTCCGGTTAGTCCTCTACTCTTGATTAGCCTCCTCTCCCCTCCATATCACACACACACCTCTTAACAGCTGTTATAGCACCGTCAACCGGATCCTAATGAGCTCTCTCCCCTCGCAAACGGGAGTCCTCTCGTACAAGGACCACGGTCTCCTGATATGCGAGGCCGAGACACTGCGACAACGAGCCGAGCGTGTCCTCCCCGGAGCCATCTACCATGAGTTCCACGAGGACCTGAACGACCTGCTGAACGTGAGAGCTGGCATCGCCCACCAGATGAAAGTGGTCGACCAGATCAGATGGACATATTCCAAATGGATCTACTCGTAGTATCATCATCATCATCATCATCAGGATCTCATCAGCGACCTGCCTGTCTATATACATTCTGTAGCCTCCAAAGGTACATCCAGGGGTCGTCCCCAGGCTCCTGTTTCTCAGCACTATCCGCGCCGTCAGCCGTAGCCTCTCCCACATCTAATCTGCGTACTCTGTAGATTCTCTGTTCCTCTCCTGTCTCTATACATTTTATATCGTATTTTGTATCTTATTCTACGTCAGGATATAATGAATATCTGATATTTCGCCGTCGTCTATGTGGCCAGTGCCAAGACGAGTGACTTGTTCCTTTTGCGGCAAAGGGCAAAAAAAAAGGTCGAAACGCTGACTTCATCTTTCGACCGCCAGCAACAACTCGCCAGCAACGCCGACATCACGCAGTTGACAGACAGAGACGGCAGGAAACGAGCAGACAGAGACAGGTAGAGGATGCCCCGGGCTGCCCGTTGGACTTTGCTGCCCCTTGCTGACACACGCCGTCTCACAGCTTTCACGCCATCGAAACGCACCGGAGATTAGCCATCCTCCTGCACAGCATCCGGACAGACAGACAGACAGAGGAGACCAGGCAACAGTGACAGCCAGAAGAGACAGATAAACAGCCCTCGTGGCCGCTCCGTCTCGCTGTTGTTTCTCCCGGGCTCGATTCACCCTGGTTTTGGTCTCGCCTGGACGGACCTATCGCATCTCGAAAACATAGCAGCGTCACTCGCAGAGCAGCCGCCGCTACGCCAGCTCAACACCGCGGCCAGTGATACGGCATCGCTCACCAGGCAGCTCTTTTTCTATCGACAGGGTCATCCACGGTATCCCCAGACTTCCTTCCGGCCCTGTGAATCTTCGACAGACCGCCCTGTACCCTCTCACAGCTTGACGTAATGGCGGGGACGCGGAATTACGACTTTCTAGTATGCGTGTCCTTCCCCCTTCTTTCTACTGCCTCTGCTTGCCCCTGAGTCTCTCGTCTGGGGGTGGGACCTCAGCTACTTTGTAGAGGAAGTACCTGGTTCCTGTGCTGACATTCACTTCTCCAGATCAAACTCCTGCTCATCGGAGACTCTGGCGTGGGCAAGTCCTGCTGCCTGCTTCGTTTCAGCGAAGACTCCTTCACCCCGTCCTTCATCACCACCATCGGCATCGACTTCAAGATCAGAACAATAAACCTCGACGGCAAGCGGGTAAAGCTGCAGATATGGGATACTGCCGGACAGGAGAGATTCCGAACTATCACTACTGCCTATTACCGCAATGCCATGGGCATCCTGCTTGTCTATGATGTCACTGACGAGCGATCATTCAAGAGTTCGTACTCTTTTTATCTTTATCTTTTTGTTTACTCTCCTCGATTTTCTTCATATTGACTCTCAAACTAATTACCAATAGACATCCGAACTTGGTTCTCGAACGTTGAACAGCATGCCAGCGAGGGAGTTCACAAGATACTAATCGGTAACAAATGTGACGGAGAAGAGAAGCGCGCCGTAACGGTCGAGCAGGGCCAGCAGCTCGCCAACGAGCTCGGTATCCCGTTCCTCGAAGTCTCTGCCAAAAACAACATCAACGTCGACAAGGCCTTCTACAGTCTCGCCACCGAAATAAAGAAGGACATGGATGTCTCCAAGGCAGAACAGGCTGGCTCCCAGGGCGTCAACATAGACAACCAGAACGGTGGCGCCGGCGGCTCTCTCGGGAAGTCATGCTGCTAGTTCTACGGCATGTGAAATGAAACATCACATCACAGCCCTGCTAGCAAGACGGAAGATAGCCCCAGCAAGTCCGTCTCCCTTTGCTCAGAACTATTTCCACAACCTAACCTATCTCTTTGTTCTATCACTTTTTATTCTCGCTTTCTATTCTTTATTCATTATCGACCTTTTTTTACTTTACCTTTTTTGGAGGGCGAGAGAGGTGAAATTCTTCTTATTAAAGAAATATACGAGAGAAGTATCCCGACGATCCGTCATGTCTCCTTTCCGCCTTGTATATTTATTCTTTGTTCATTTTTCCTCCCATTCACCTTGATCTTGCTCGCGTTGCTCCTTTTTTGGCATGAGACCATGTCGAGATACACATATCATATACCTCTCTCCGTCCGTTCCCCCATCCCACCGTCTCTGTGTACCTCACAAGTTCCTCTTCCCGGCTGAATTGTGTTTATTGCTTAGAAGGCGTTTGCTCTGTTCCGAGTCTTTCCTGGTCTTTTTTTTTTTTCTATCCCCTCCACCTACTGATTGGTCTTGGTTGTTCCTCTCGTTTGCTTTCTTGTCATTGCTATGTGTGATATCTGATAAAGATAACTGGATTGTATCTAATCGATTCTACATGGTTCACCTTCTATCCGTAAATATACATATCGTACAGTCAGGTCGAGATGTTTCCTACCCTATATTATAAGGTAACTGATCAAGTGGTTCAAAAACTCTCGTCCCAGAAGAGAGCTTCAGCCTTGATCACTGGCGGCGGATCACAGTAGTCCATATCTTCCGCCTGTGGGAATTCCTTCATATGCCATGTCCTCACAAACCTCCTAGCATCAGATGCAGACCTGAACGTTACCCTCCAGTTGCTGATGTCGTATTCTCCGAACTTGGGTTTCGCATGAGCCTTTTCACCCAGTGGCGTGCTGCCATCCTCCTTCCCGTTAGTCAGGAATATCACCTTATCCCAACCCTCGATAAGATCCCAGGGAACAGATCTCCTTTCCCCATCCCAGTAAAGAAAATTGATCAGCGATTTTCTCGTCGGGCTGAGGAATGAATCGCGCGAAATGCACATTCGTACAGGATATCCAGCTGTATCGGAGGAGAATGGCACCGGTGTCGAAGTTTCAGGAGGTTCTTCCTCGTCGTGCGCTATCACGCCGGTAATCGATTCCTGGGTTCTGATACAGGATGACACCCATTTACTGAACGGGAAAAATTCAGCGGTAATCAGGGGGAATTGCCAGGGTGCGGTGAGCGTATAGTCTTGCAATGTAAAGCCCATAGATCCCGGAACCTCATAGTTAGATGGAAGGTCGATGCTGGACGCCGGGTAGAACGGAGTTTTGTCTCGAAGTAGCTCACGCAACTTATGTACTTTCCCTTGGTATGCAGCGGCCGCAGCGGGATTCGAGAACAGAAGAATCCAACCATTCATTCGGTCCAGAGTCTTCGGATTCCGGGTAGGAATTACTATTGTATACAAGCGTCAATTAAAGGCCACTTCTGTTTGTAGTAGTAGCTACTTACTCTGCTCCAGTCCTCCCTGGCTCTTCCACCCTTCAATGTGTTTTCCCGGGGCCAGGATGCGTAAAAAGTCTCTCTCTGTAAGAGAGGCCGGGGCTCTATATAGGACCAGGGCAGTCTTATGAGGCCGTTTACTCAGATTTGCATCCGTTATTTGCAGCTGGCCCATCTTATTGATATCAGCACCTGTGCCCTGGCCAGCAGTGCCTGGAACCATTTCTAGACCAAATTCTCGCAGTAAATCCTCTCGATCCCGCATGGCCTGCTCTGTAAGATTGCGGCGAGGCTCTTTCTGGCCTCCCTGCTTGGCTGCCTTTTCCTTCAGGCTGTTCAATCCATTGGGCGCATTCCTGGATGTCCGCGGCGGAGCTTGCGTGGATGTAGACAACGGCCGGTACCTAGCATTTCTGCTAAATAGTAGTGATCGTGGTGACCATACCAAAGGCCTGCATCGCATTTCGAAGGCAGCGACGAACCAATATCCTAGTTGACGGCATCAAATCGCTTGATTCTTCGTCTTCGTCTTCGTCTTCTTCACTTTCAGCTTCATTTTGTCCGACATTGAAAAAACATAGAAGCGTCACGTGATTGAGGCTCTAGAAAGGTTATCAAGAAAAGTAAAAAAACGAACATTTTCAATTTCAACATAAAAAACACCCAGCTTGACAAGCACTTCGCCTCTGATTTTCATTGATAACTGTTACTGTCAAGCATTTTTCTTTTGCTAGCAGCCACTTGAACAATTTGTGAGAATGGGAATTGCAAAGAAAACTAGAAAGTTTGGCCATGTTCGTCTCCCGCATCCAGTTACTTCGAGAACCATCACTAACCGTTAGCCAGGTCAAAAAAATAATCAGTCAAAAGGACAACCGGCTGTAAGGCCTCGTCACATATATATTGTTGCGTATGGAAGGGAGAGACATACTGAAATTATATCCCGGGATACAGGAAGCAGAATCAGGCTAAGGCGGAAGAAAAGAAAGCAAAGGCCGACAATGTTGTCCGGGAAATGTACGAAACTCTTCCACTTTTGACAGCAGCCACCTTTCCTCTATTATATAAAAACCAACGCTAACAACTCATTACCTATCCCATGACAGACCTCAAGCTCCGTCTGCACTATTCTTCCAGTTCAATACCTCGCTCGCACCACCTTACTCAATCTTAGTCGACACAAACTTTCTATCCCACACAGTCCAGCATAAACTCGATGTTATACCAAGTATGATGGACTGCCTGTTCGCGAAATGTATCCCAATTATTACAGACTGCGTATTAGCCGAGTTGGAGAAGTTAGGACCAAAATACCGGCTTGCTTTGCGGATAGCAAAGGACCCTCGATTCGAAAGACTCAAATGTGACCATACAGGCACGTACGCTGATGACTGCATTGTGGACCGAGTTATAAAACACCGAATATATATTGTCGCAACCAACGATCGTGATCTAAAGAGACGGATAAGGTGGGTTTCGCTTATCTCTGATATACCTAGAGAACTGCGAGTAATAGAATACTGACGATGGAATGATAGAAAAATTCCTGGTGTACCAGTTATGAGTGTTGCCCGTGCTAAATACGTCATCGAACGACTTCCTGACGCCCCTGAAAAGTGAAGATAAACTCGAGTCAAGATTTTGTCCTTATCAACAGCCGCACTCCAGGTCTGCTAGGGGTTATGAGGTTTATATCCCTCAGGAGTAAACTCCATTGTGCTACGCTTGGCAGCGCCTACTCTGAAAGAATAGATGGTCACAAGCCATAGCTGTGTTCACTCCTCACCGTGGCTTCCACCTTGTACATTCATACAGGATACAAGGTTCTTCAGAATCGTGTCAGGTCCTTCGTTATGGCTCAAGGACTGTGGCTATTCTGTGCTCTTTGGACTATTTTCACGGTCCAGCGATACCACGGACCGAGGAGGTCTGCTAGATGTGCAGGTAAGGAGCGGACTCGGGATATGTGTTACTCGGTCTATGTCATGAGCTTTCCCCGGGAATGAAAAAGATACACCGTTTGTAGCATAGCTTCCGTCACGTATAACCGGTATCTCACACGATATTATAATGACATTACACTATATATCACGCCTACAGTATAGACAACGTAAATACATATATACACTACCACCTACACACAGAAATACGACAATATACAAAGAAAAGGCAATTGAAAATATTAATATCATTCTCCTAACCAATGCAAGTGCGTCCTATTGATGACGGTGAGAAGGGCTATAGAATTATCAGGATTCAAATGTGGTATGTTAAAGGATTAAGGGAAGTCATCGGCACGCGAAGTTGGCGTTTCATTCAAGATACGGGCGATTGAGCTTCAGAGCTGCCAGGCCTTGGAGTGCTGGCTTCTAAATAGTCTGAAGCTCGAATGCCGTCATGCTTCTTGTAATGCTCGACGTCATCCTCAGCAGATTCCTCGTCACGACCGTCATCTTCGAGGTATGTATCGGTCCACCGGGCAGAGTCAGTCTGAGACGCTTTTGAATTCATGCTCAGACTACTCAATCGGCGCTCGATTGGTGGTGTAGGTTTATTCAGCTCAAATGTTATACTGCCTTGCAACCTCGATGAAGCATCTGGTTGAAGAGAAGAGGCAGTTTTCTTGTCGCTAGGGCTGGACGGTCCGTTATCCGGTCCAGTGTTCGGCGAGGCCTGACAACGCGGCAAATCATGCTGGCCTAAAACCTCTTCTCCCTGGTCAGTTGCTGGGACGTTCATCGGTTTAGCCCGTTCCTCTCGAGACTCTAGATCGTCTGATTCACGAGCAGAGGCAGTATAGCCAAAGTGAGTATCGACAAAATGCTTGACAACTGGCCAGCCATAGGCATTGGCAAACATACGGCGGACGATAATGTTGTTATGGGCATCTGGTTCTAGGCGGACCAGAACTTTGCGCCAGGTTAGATCACGGTGGTAAGCCCTTGCAATCTTCTCTTCTACTTTCATGCCACTGTTGCCCTTCTGGGGTATCTCGGTTGGCGTTTTGCTACCATCAGAAGCCCCAGCCTGCGAGCCAGTGTTCTCCATCGAGGCACTTCGGCTGAAACTGTAACTTGGCGATCGAAACATAGTTCGGGCCCTGGTGGGTGGAGGTGGAGGGATATCATCAGGGTGATACACCCGGTCATGGAAGATGGTTCTAGGTCGTGACGACGGGTCTATAAGATATTCAAGCGGAGGCAGGGGTGGGCTGAGAACGTCGCCGGCTGATTCTAGGATAGTCGTTCTCGGAGGAGTATACCAGCCATCTTCCTCATCATACAGAGAGTCTCCACGGACGAGACCTTTTCGCATTGGAGGTGCAGTCAACTCCGGGTTGCTTGTGGGCGCAGTCTCTTCATTTTGTGTATCGGTACGAAGCGTCTGCGAACGTTTGTATATCTTCTGCCCCTTGTTCTTCTTTTGTGGTCGGAAGAAGGAAAAGAAGCTGTTGACGGGCCCGGGAGACGCAGGTGACGTAGGTGAGCTGGTTGGACTTAGCCTCTGGGGCGATGCCAGGGCCGGGTCACTTTCTGACTGCAAGTACTGACTGGCCAGAGGCAGTCCAGGTGAGCTCTCTCCGCTAGCTGGATGAGGTGTTAGACGAGGTGACTGAGCGCCTGACTTGCTACCTCTCTCCTGAGCCTTGTCATCTGCCGAGCCAGGCGCGCGAGCAACAACGCGAGCACTCGAATTGAGGCCAGTCAACTGCGCCCATCCCCATTCAGCTACCGTTCCGACGAGACCATTCTCCCGCCTTGCCTTCTCAACTCTTTCGAGGCCTCTCCAATCAAGAAAGAGGAGGCAGGAGGTACGCAAAGGAACAATGCCATCGTTGACAACATTTGAGTATATGGTACGATTTCTGAACCTTTTCAAGACCTCATGGGCGGCACCGCTGGGCAGGACACGGAGGAGAGGCTTCGACCCTGGGTCCTGACCGTGAGCACGGTTTGCATCACTTCCCAGCCCTCCTATCATGGCTTCCCATCCACTGCGGACTTTTGAAGGAGCGTTCCACGCCAGGCCAAGATCCTGACCTGTTCGACCAACGAGTCCAAAGTCGAGGGCAAACTTGACGTACATGGGGTTTTCATTGCTTAGGCCGAGGAAAGGAGAGGCAAAGGCGACGAAGTTGATGGGTCGGATATAGTCGAAGAAGTCTGGGCAGTGCTTTTGTATATATGCAATGGCATACGTCTGGACGAGGCCCCCAAGAGAGTGGCCTATAAAGCTGATGCTAGTGATCTGATAGGCATACTCCTTTTGTCGGCGACCCTGACGTTCGCTGTCTCCGAGAATTTGGCGAGCCTGTGGCCGTCTGAGTTTGTTCTTGGACTTCAGCGGGAGGTACGGCTGATCTGGGTATGTCATGAGCTGGACGTACTTTGCCAGCCGTTTGCCCAGGTATTGGATGCCGCGCTCTGTCCTCACTGCGTTCCCAGGAAATCCCCTGACAATCACGTCTTCCTCATCATCTTCACTATTTTCGGTAGAATCTCCGCCGTTTGACGATTTCTTCCGTTTTCTGGCCTCCTCTCGGGCATTCTTTGCGGCAGCATCGATGCTCTCCTTGAGGTAGAGCATGTCAGCACCGAGATTGCTATGGAGTCCATGTGTCACGAGGACAAAATGTATCTTCTTGCGTTTCTTCTTCGGTTGCTCCTGTTGGGAAGCAGAACCTTCCGCTGGCCTATCCGTGGCAGAGGTAGTGGGATCGCTACTAGTACTACCACTACCACTACTACTCTCTGCCGAAGAAGGAAATGGTGGCAGGTTCCACAGACTGGCGGTGTCGTCTACCCGTAGCTTGATAGACTCCGAGTATACACCAGGCACTCTACCTGGCCGCTCACGCTGCTGTTGCTTCTTCGACGGCCCGGGTTTGGCATGGTCTCGAAGCTGGCCGGGAGGGGGCAGGTTGGCCATGGCGGGAGCTCCCAGTTCGACGGAGGCAGCATCTCGGCCAACCAGAAGCTCGTACTGCACGGAGGCCGTGGAGGAGAAGATGATCTCCGACGATATCTCTATTATCCAGGTCACGCCCGTCGTAGCAGAAGGTCCAGCAGCTCCAGCAGACGGAGACCGGACTCGTTCGGGTACTTTTATGACGGCATCCCAGGCTCCTCCCGGCTTCAGATTGGGCTCGAACTGCGGCAGGCCGTCGACCTCATGCTGGTCGAACTTGCGGTTGGGGTCGAAGGCAGCTGGCCTACAGGAGACATGCAACGCATAGGGCCCGTGGAGATACGCAGCACGCAGAGGGGTGGCCGCCGTGTTCCGGAGCTTGACATACAGCTGTGAGGGCGTGGGCAGGATGCGGTCTGCGGAGGGCGTATAGGTCAGGGTATATCTACACAGAATCACAGTCAGTGTACACACACACACACACACACAGCTTATGCGGTGGGCCAGCAAGCCACTTACCGAGCTACCTCGCCAACCTTGAGACCGCCGGCCTGGTGGACGAGCAGCATCTCCGCTGCCCGCCGGGTCTCAGCAGGAGGCACACTCCAGCCACGCAGGGTACGAAAGGTCGGATGAGCTTCAGGCGCAAGGGAGACGCCGCTGTCTGGAGTCTGCGAGAGCCGGTACGTCCGGGGAGTCACCAGCATCTGCTCTCGCACCAGTCTGTCTGCGGTTGAGCTCGGTTTCTCAGGCTGTTTTCTGTTCTGCTCGTCCTCGTCATCGTCGTCGTCGTCGGTTTGATAGTAAGTAGAAGTTTGGGCCAGATAAGGTGAGGCTGAGTAACGGTATTACACGTATTCTATGACAAAGCAGGCGGGGAAAGTGACAATACGTGAATATCAATTACATCACGAGCTGGCAAAACTGGCGCTGCGAAAGCCGAATCTCAATCTGCCCTTGGACGGCCTCGTCTGGCTCGTTCGCTCGTCTGGCGGGCTGGTCGGGCAGCAGAATGATCCTCCCGTCGACGCAGACCCTCCGCCAGCGCTCGTCCGGCTCCGCCACCCGGATTCTGACGGCCTCGACGGCGGCGTAGGCGACCTCTGGCTGGTCGACATGCTTGCCCCCAGCGTACGCCAGCGCCATCAGCTCGCCGGCTCTCTCGGACGGGACGGGCCCGAAGTGGACTATCCGTAGCTGTTTCTCGAGCGGTGCTGAGGCCGGCGAGATGATAAATCCCTTTTCGAGCTGCGAGGCCAGCGTCACCAGCACGTACATGTGGGATGGCCGGTCGACCACTTCTTCCTCCTCCTCCTCCTCCCCCTCCTCTTCCCCGTCGGCTCGGACAAGGACGAGAGAGCCTGAATAGCTGTGGGAGGCGCTCCCGTCGGCGGGCTGAAGCAGCTCCTGGGCGGCCATCTTGAACCTGTCGACCCCGAACCGCCGGTACGCTGCAGTATCGCTGTCTGCAACGAGCGAGGCATGCAGTCCCCAGCTCACGACCACCACCCCGTACACGTCTGCCGCTCCCACCGGCTCCCTCCCGCGTCCTTCGTCCGTCACGTACATCGATCCAGGCGGAAATCGCACACAAAAGGCCGGAAGGTCTGCGGGCGAGCCGCGGACCAGCCTCGACAGCCCCAGGGTCGAGTCGGCCAGCAGACCCGTAGAATTGGCCAGTCCGTTGCCCGTCCCCATCGGCACAAGGCAGACGACGGGCCGGACAAGCGTAGAGGCAGCTGGAGCTTCGGCCAGCACGCGGATGAGGTCGACCAGGCCGCCGTCGCCAGACATCAGAATGAGTGTCTGCTGGTTGCCGGCCAGCGCCTGCGGGAGGAAGACGGTCCTCGCCAGGCGGGTGATTGTCTCTGCCGACTCGGTCTCATGGACTGTATAGTCCCCCTCCGGCCGCAGATGCGAGAGCAACGGCTTGACTGCCTGCTGGAAGAACGACGAGGCCTTCTGGGTGCCGGACAGCGTCGAGACGATGACATGAAGCCGGACGCTGGCTGCGAGATGGGACGGCCGGCCGTGGCAGAGGGAGGAGTATCCGGGCAGAGACGCAAGGCCGGACAGCTTCAGCGTCTCCAGACGGGCTGATTCGCCGTCTGCATCGTGCTGCAGGTAGAGCAGGCTGTCCTCGTCCTCGTCCGCGGTCTGTATGATGGCGATGATGCTGTCCGCCGGCACTGTCGAGCGCACATCCTGAGTCTGCCACTCGAAGTGACCCTGAGAGAAGCCGGCGGTAGAAGGGACCCCGTCTACTCGTCCCTGAACTGCTTCTTCCATCCTGGTATCTTTGCAACTTCTATGCCTTTATCTTGTTGTTGATATACGTTGCTGGCGCTGCAGGCATAATTTATACAGATATCGACCAGCGTTGCGGCTGAAACCCCCCACTCGTATAGTTATATATAAAACTAAATCCCATGTCTAAAAGTTATATATCTCGTAACCGTTTTATCTATAGGCATTCAATCATCAATAGACAAGATCATCCAGCAGCTAGTACTCGAGAGAACCGCCGACGTGCGACCAGAACTCCTGGACGAGCTCGCGCTGTCCCTGGCCCCCCGGCGAGCCCCTGACGGCCAGATACCGCCTCGAGTCGAGCTTTGCCTGCCACTGGCCCGGGTTGCCGTCGACCATGATGCCGCCGGCCTCAGCCAGGATGACCCAGCCGGCGCAGACGTCCCAGGCCCAGCAGCCGCCCTCCCAGTAGAGATCCAGCACGCCCGAGGCCACGGCACACAGGTTCAAGGCGGCCGAGCCCATGCTGCGCATCGAATGCACCATCGCGCCGCCCTGCTCCTTGGACTTGCCCAGGCTCTCAAACGTACGCAGCTTGACCTCCCAGTTGGGTCCTGAGCGGTCCGAGCCCCATTCCACGGCCACCAGGGCACTGCTCAGTCCCATGAGCGGCTCGACATCCCCTCCCCGAAGCGGTAGTTTGCGAGTGCGGTTCATGAACGCCCCGCGGCCCTTGACGGCGCTGTAGAGCGTGCCGGTGAACGGGTTGAAGACGACTCCCACGACAGGCTGCTGCTTGATGGCAAAGCCGAGCGAGATGCAGGCCGAGGGGAAGCCGTGGACGAAGTTGACGGTGCCGTCTATTGGATCGACCACGAAGGTCGGCTCGTCCGTCAGCGGCTTTGACGGGTCGTACGTCTCTTCTCCCATGAACCTGGTGCTCTTGCGGTCAGTTATTGCTTGTTCTTGTTGCTGCTTGTTTGTTTGCTGCTGGTTATAAGGGTTGGAGACGCACTGGTAGTGAGGGTACTTGGTGCGCAGGGCCTCCGAGACGGCGGCCTCGACAGCGCGGTCGGTCTCAGTCACCAGATCGGAGCCTGGTCTGCCGGTTAGCGCTTGATCTTATAGTACGGATGAGGGCGAGAGCGTCTTCTTACTGTTCTTCTTGGAGCCGACGCCGTTGATGAGCGGGTGGGCGCTGGTGATCATCTCGCCCGCCGTGCTGGCCAGGTCGACCAGGAAGTCGTGGATCTCGGCCAGGTCGGGCGTTTCGGCCATCTTGACTGACTGGCTGTCTGGCTATCTGTCAGTCTGTCGAGATAGGTCTCAATTGATGATAGTAGGAGGTCGATGGCGGAGGGGGAAGATGGTGCAGCTTGTTACATAGTTGGATCTACTTTGTGATGACGCCGGCCAAGATGTTTCTTTTCTTTTGCTGGGCATCAACTCGACATCTTCTCTCAAAGTCCTCATAATATTAGTATTATACAGAGCCATGATATCCAGCAACCCGGCGGGACGACGCAGAGAAGTGGGAGACGCCATCCAGTCCTCTCAAGGCAGTCATCTTCAGCTTCATCCTTCGTCTTCACACTCGTCGCCATCCTTGATTTCCGCGCTGTAGGCCAAAAACGTCATTTGCAAGACTGATCGCCCGCATTTTGATCTCCCACGCCTTCAAGTCGCAGTCAAAGTCCCGAAAGGCAGTAGAGGTGAAGGATCCCTTGGGCATGGTGTAGTCCGAGACGCGGCGAACAAGAGTAGCCAGCATCGTACGCCGCAGCCATTCCCCGGTAGTCTTCCATGGGACAACGTCCGGCTGGGCCTTGTTCTTCAGCAGGAGGCTGGCCATGATGTACCTAAAGTACAGATATCGGCGGGCAGGATGGTTGTCTCGAAGAAATATGAGCGGCCTGCAATGGAGTCTCTGTTTATATAGATCAGCATCATCCCTTGACCATGCAGTAGAGCCGGGCGGGCGAGACAACAGACAGCCCTTAGAGAAATGGATCCAGATGCTTGAATAATGCAAGAGACGGCAAAGGGAGACGATTCTTATCCAGAAGAAAGAGAAATAAGAGGGAGACGAAGAGATCTAGGGGGTTGTTTTTATAGTAAACACTTTGGTATCGAGGCTCCTCCAACGGGCAAAGGCAACAACCCCCTTTGATATCCAGCCGGCCAACCAGCTATCAAGTGGTTAAACGCCATAGAATCGACTTTATAGTAGTAATTCAGCTGAATATTATCCATTTGCACGGCCATCCCAGAGCCAGTTGGTTAATGAGCAATCCCACAATGTCGTGCCGAATTTTGAAACGAATTTAACTAGTTACTGATTCTCAAATTTTCATATTCAATTTCAACATTTGACCATAACCAAACTTCCATCAACACCAACATCGTCCAGGATGGGCATTCCACGTCTCAAAGGACACCTTCTACGGTACGAAGAAGCCGTCTGGCTGGGAACAACAGCGCAGCAGGGCCAGGAAAATACCCGAAACATCACCTCCGTGGTCATCGACGGCCCTGCGCTGGTCTACCATGTCTACTACGGCCTCATGGCGGCCATGGAGCAGCATCTCAACCCCTTTTCTGCTCAGCCTTCTAGCGACGAGGTGAGCGTCGGGGTCATGAAGATGCTGCTCCATCTTCGCGCCATCGGTGTCACCATGTATGTACCGATGTATCGATCAACAGTGGCCTTTGCTAATTACCTAAATGATAGAGAGAAAATCTACTTTGATGGAGCCCTCCCAACGTCAAAGCGAAAAGTTCGCCTGGAGAGGATGGCCAAACTCGCCTCGAAGCTGCAGCAGGCCTGTCAGGCAAAGAAGCACGGATTCAAGAGTGGTACTGTTGCGGGAGGCCGGCCATCGCCTGATACCAAACTCTTCTTTAGTCGTCGCCTGGTGAATCCCAAATTCTACAGCTTGCCTGACAACCCCTTCATGGTTGCTACAGTTGCCGAGGATTTGAAGTATCGGTGGAGCTGGCAAGCCATTGAGTGCTTCCATGACCTCAACAGCACCGAAGAAGGCCATGGCTCCTCGTTCCCGTGGGCAGATATCACGGAAGTCGTCATGGGCGAGGCGGATATCTTCTGTGCCGAAGCCGCAAGGGAACGAGGCTCTGCAGTGCTGACAGGAGATTCAGACCTTGTTATACATGACCTGGGATCTGACGGCTCTGTTGTGTTTCTGGAATCCATCGAGATGTACGAGACCCCGGATACAAATGAAAGGGAACTTAGACTGCCACCCTTTGGTGTGCGAGCGAAGGAAATCCGTCCATCCAGGATCGCCAACCAACTAGGCATCAAGAATCTATTGAGAGTGGGATACGAGCTAAAGCAGGACCCGTATGTGAAGTGGTCTTCCATTTCAAAGCTGTGCCAGGCTGCAGAAAAGAGATCAAGAGTGAGTTCGTCGTACGGTGAGTTCCTAGCTGAATATAACGCTCGTCCCTTTTCGATGAAGGGCAATGATAAGAGCAATGAATTTCCCCTTCTTGACTCCAAGGTCTCAGAGCTGGTAGCTCAATATCATCATCCAAGCTTCGATGCAGATGGCGACCAGCTGTACTCCTACCTGCCCGTGATGACAGAAAACCATGCTCGCAGGTGTGCCTGGGTTGACTGCAGTGATATCAGAGCCATTGGATACTCTATATTTAACTTGTCCTTCCCGAGGAATAAAAGAAGAGATACAATCCTCGAGTATGCACGGAGAGGCCAGAGAATAGTCCCAAACCCCCTCACATTACTAAACGAAGACGCCCTTGCTCTGGCTGCTAAGGAACTGCTTGAACAGATAGAGTCTATCCGACTCTCTTCCGGGAACGAAAGCATATATTTCTGGATACCCTATGCTCTACTTCGCATTTATTCGGATGCGGAACACTCTAATCTTCCCAAACCAGACGCCATTATCAAGTTCTTAAAGTTCGGCTATATGGGAGGTTCTCTAACGTGGGACGACCTCCACCTGCGGGCTCAAGTGCTGTGTACCCTCTACTCTCTTCGCATGCTTAAACAGTTTCTGCAGGTTTCACTGATTACGGGCGATGCTGAAGTCCAGAGAATAGGAAAGCCACTTCTTGATGTGTTGGCTGAACTTCCTCCGCTACGCATATTATCCGAAGCCGGAATATGGCTCAACTCGTGTACGGAGAAGGACATGAAGTCGATATCCGATACTATAAGTACACTGTTTGAATGCCTGGGCGGTACTCAAATCCCTGTTTCAGACGCAGATCTGGAGCAGGAGGAATCTGAAGATATCAAAAAGGATACCCCGAACCGGAAGAAGAGGAAACGGGAGAAGAGGACAACCAACTCTCCAGCCATAACACGGAGGCAACAGGCTGCTAGCAGTAATATGTATGATATTCTGCAAAGTACCTACGATCCTTAGTGAACCACATTTATCCGGTTCAGAGAATGAAGATATTGATAGGGACACGCAGTGAGAGACTGAAATACCCAGTGACATGAAGGTTTGGATACCTGGAAAATGTAAGATTTATCGTTATGGATTGCCTAAAAGGTCGCTAGGTTTTACCATTCTGGAATCCTTCTGTAAACCTGAGAGGAAGAAAAAAATCATACACCATCCTAATCGCCATTCGCTGCTGGATAGAGCATACCTTCATGAGCTATCCAGGTTAGGGTCCATTCCAAGAGCTAGTGCGTACTGAAGCTGAATAGCTAAAGCTTCATCATTTGCTTCTTGCTCCCGCCTTCTATCAATCTCTTCCTGGTAGCAAACAGGGCCTCGAATATCAACAGCTGCGTCGGGTGGCACTGCATTGTCTGGTATATCCGCATAGTTGAACCACGGACAATCGCAAGTCTTCCACTTTAAGCCACAGACAATACAGAACTGCGCTGTGCATCGACAAGTGATGTGGTTGCAACCTTCCTTCAACTCTACCATGGCAGAGCAGTTATAACAGCGTCTCCAGCCTTCTTGTTCCGCAATTTCGGCAAACTCGACAGACCCTTCGTCCTGCGGGCAGTCTTCATCTTTATGCCATTTCCCACCACATGTACAGCAGACCATTATCTTACAGCGACTGCAGATTCCGTATCTACGCCTACTTGCATCACGGGAGCCTGCAGCCCTATATATATTTGCTGGGGGTATCCATTTCCCACAGCCCTTTGATGGACAGTATATCCGGTTCTTAGTGGTATATTCCCTAAACTTCTGGTTCCACTCCAACTTGAACTTGAGGTCAAATAAATTTTCAACATGTTTCAGGGGTATGTGATCTGACGTGCAGCACCGCGGAGGCATATGCTGGGGGTCTGTAATGGAAAGGGTGAATGCCCGCCTTAGACATCCGTGGCATATTCTATGTAAACAGGCAAGCTTTACTGTTTTAGAGGCAGGAAGATCATCAGACATGCAAACAACACATGTAACTCTGCAAAAATATTAGTATTATAGATATACGTGGCTTGTAACGGAGAACCTGGATTGCATACTGTCTTTCTGGTGGCAAGACAATCCCAGGGTTGAACATTCTTATCAACAACGGCGATGGGCTGCTTCTTCTGCCATCATTTACGGGACTAGCAGTGGACTTTTGGCCAGGGGTTTCATTAGAGTGCGCTCTCTCCTTCTCCCCAGGGAGTGGGCGGACTCTTGCAGAGGCACGAGCACTATGAAGGAGTTAGCTCTCCCAACCAGCACCAGTATATATGTATATTGACAGCCAGTCTAGAAAAAAACTGGAAGAATCTTACTTCAAGAGATGATTATCACTTCTTCCCAAACTTTGCTTGATATTTTGAGCTGGGTGGCTGGCATTCCCGCCGGATCCGCTTGCTGCAGCATCTCGATGATATCGATGATTACGATGTCCTGTATGTACTAGCAGAGATGACCGGCGGACTCGTTTTTCTTTCTTCGACCGCCTCTCAGGCTCAGCTGCTCTATCTCCTTCTATCAGTTCGATCGGTTCGCCTTGTATGCGTCGGCGATGATGGTGATGAAAATGACGGCGCTTATCCGGAGTTGCTGGGGCGTTTGCTTGTTCCATGTCGGTGCCCTCGATATGCTTGACACCTAAGCTGTTAGGGAACCAAGAGTATCCTAAGTAGACGTCAAGTGTCTTGATCAAACTTATTGATGCTTTGTAGAGCGTTTGTGGCACGTCGTCATAGCAGGGTAGTTGAAGCCTCCAAGACTTGAATTTCTATTGGCAGGAGATATCCCGCGATTCTTAAATGGGGGCGCACCTGTCAAGTAACCAACCCCTAGGTGGTGAATGATTGATGATACATGTATTATATATCACAGTAAAGGACAGTCTGAACAGGCATTTCACTTAGTCCTTTGCAGTAATCGTAAAAGTGTGAATATTCGGCGTATGCAGATTATTTATTACACCGTGTGAATATGAACAGATGGCCATGATAGATGCTTTTGTCCGCCAGTAAAATAGTTATCATTACAAGATACTAGAAATTTTTGAAAGCTCCAAGAGGCAAGATACATCGTAATACCCTCGGTATCGCGTTATGATTCCAGGAGAGGTGAAAATCAAGCTTCTTTGATAACACCAGGGCGCAACAGCTTGTCCTCCTTTCCAAAGACCGAGACATCCTTGACGATCCCAATAAACCTACGATGGTTCTCTCTGGAGTTTCCAAGGCGTGATCGGAACATACGGAGGAGATCGTTGCTCAAGATTCCGCTTGCAGGAATAGCGGCGTGTATTTCAGAAGCAGTTGGGAAAGAGGCGGGTGGTGGAGCCCCGGCGCCAGGGTTGGCACCTGAGACCGACCCTCTTCGAGATCCGGAACCGGAGGGAGTAGAAACGCCTGTATCCATCAAGTTAGTATGGGAATGTATGTCTATATGCAATGGGAGGAACTGACCACGAGAACTCTCGGGGCTGCTGGCTCGGCTACCGGCCACAGCTTTGCCAGCAGGAGTAGGGCTTCCGGCACGAGAACCAATTGGAGTTCCGGTCTTTGATTTGGCAGCTGGAACGTTAAGCTTCATTCTCTTTGCCATAGTACTATCACTCATTTCAGCACCAGAGTTGGCGGCTTTTTCAACATCACTTGCAGACCCAGCCTTGCCTGGACCAGTGCGGATACGCTTCTTTGCACCGGCAGCGGTTTGAGCAGTGCTGGGCGTGGCGTCGTTTGCGTTAGCAGTTCCAGAGCTCTTTCTCTGCGCTTGGGGAACAGGAGAAATAGGTCTAGAGGTAGGCTGAGAATTGGAGATCTGGGCAGAAAGATGCTTGTTCTTCGGTTTCTTACGGGAGGAATCTGTGCCACTGGCGTCGGAAAGATTTGGGGATCCGGGACGTTTGCGAGCGGCAGCTTGTGCTCTCTTCAGCGGGTCAGTATGTTTATTACGCCCAGACGGGGTATTGGTGCCTTTGGTAGATGTTCCCGAAGGTTTGTCGGCCTGGTTATCTTTCCGCTTGGGATCTTCTTCCGACTTTTTCTGCTCCTCTTTTTGGCGCTCTAGTTCGGACTCATCCGTACTCTAAAAGAAACAGTTAGTTGAATATGGAAGAAGACAAGTACATGGTAAAAAACAAAATTACCTCATCATCCGAGTAAGGGTTTGCGTCAGATCCACTACTGTAGTCATAATTCTTCTCGCGTCGCTGCAACGCCTTTCGAACCTGTTTGCCAAAGCTTTTAAGATCTTCCTTTTGTTTCTTTTCTAGGTGCTCCTCTTCATCATAGTCCTTCTCGTCTTTGAGATCAAAGATGTTTGCCTTTAGCTGGTCTTGTTTGATACGCTTTTCTGCAGTTTTGGCATCTTCATCATCATCAAACAGCCCAACATGTTCCTCGTCATCTGCAAATCTATCTTCGTCGAAGTCCATATCGTCGCCTTCGAAACGATCAGTGACTGGCGCGTTTCGAGACTGCCCAGTGTAGATTTTCCGCTGTCTAGCATATCTTTGAAGCTCTCTCTCCTGGGCTCGTGCTTGCTCCTTTTCCATGAACCATCGGGGATCTCTAATCTTCCTAGCCATATGCTTCTCTGCCTCTTCAATAGTCAAGACCTTGAACTGATTTTTGGCAGTAAATTTGTACCATTTATCAATGGGTATCATTCGCATCTTCCCGCTGCGCTCCAAAACAAATGTGGCGTATGTCTCTGACATGGCAGCCTCATACTTGCCAACCCAAATATTTTTATTATCAAAATCTTCCAAATGCCAAGGTAAGGCCTCCTCATATTTAATCTGAGATTTTGCAGCCTCCTCTGGTGTGATGATAGATTTGAAGACTTGCTGTGTCCGCTGCTTAGGGGCGTTCACTTTCTTGGGTCCTGAATTAACGGAGGGAGCAATCTGCGCCAGGTTATCCTCACGTTCTTTAGCCCGTGCTTCTTTCTTAGCTTCCATCTCCTGGCGTTCGGCCTCAGTCAGACCAGCGTAAGGGTCACGGAACCCTCGTCGGGGATTTGCATCTTCCTTTTCATTTCCTGCTGAAGCTGTGGTTGTAGCTCTTGGATCTCGTCGCTGTAATCTTACGGGGCGTGTAAATTGAGATTCATCTCTAGGGTCCACGCTTTTCTTTGATATAAGCTTTGCGATGTGGTGCCTTAATCCTTCTCTGAGCGCACGTTTCGTTGTAACCAGCGGGTAGTCTGAGTACGTTTCTGAGAGCAACGGACCGCTGAAGCCGTTGGTAGTGAGGTCGTCAGCGCTGGGGATAGGTCTTGGTTGCGGTAGCGTGCTCGCCGGAGGTTGATGTCGTGGAGGCTGCAGTGGAAGGGTCGATGTCCCATTCGCGGTCGTAGATCGCACCTGGCCTTGCCCATATCCCTGAGACTGGCCCTGAGGCTGAGGCTGGCCAGGAGCAGTAGGTCGCGGAATAGGTCGTTTCTTTGGTCGAACGAGCGGATCCGCTGGCTTGGGGCGCCGTCTGACCATAAAGGGTCCATTCGGTCCTCCCGGGGGGGTTCTACCCAAGGGTGGGTTTGGTGGAGTGGTTGAACTCATGATTCCAGGCGCTGGCTATTAGCTCAGATAGGGAAAATGGCCAAATCTACCATTGGAGCTGGCAGCGGAAGCTCTTTCACGAGCTGTCTGTCTGGCGACTCCCTCTCAGTACCCAACCGTGACGAGCGCGAAACCAGTGAGTGAAGGGTTAGAAGCGTTCACTGCGTAAAAGGGAGTTTTTCTGGCAACTCCGTATTCTTGTTCTCTGCTAGCAGGAGGTAGGGTGTCTGTCCGGGCGAGATGTTTGGTATTGTGATAGTCGACGTCGCTGTCGCTCTGTCGATGTTTCTTCGTCTTTGACGTCGAAAACGCCTATACGTGTCACGTGGACGAGTGACTAAGATATTTGTCAGCAAGTCGTTGACGTCAAAGTTGATTTTTGGTGGAAGAAGAGGAGTTGACGAGCAGAAGAAGTCTAGAAGACGGCGAAGAGACGGCAAGAAGATGCAGACGATGAAGTAGAAGATAAGGCTGTGACGGTAGAAGCCTTAGGGTCCCTGGTCGGCGGCTTTTATCCTCTATGAGGAGTGGAGGACGCCGAGTTTGTAGGAGGACAGCCAACAGATCTCAATAATAAATATACCATTCAGCTTCAGGATAACAATGCTACCTTTGCTATTCATGTAGCCGATTATAAAGCATTGACTTGTTACTCTGAATTGATTTCTCGGCTAGCTCAATACCCGTGGGAGTCTTCTTTTCAGAATAAAAGATGTCTCCCACAAACTCCCTTCTACTATGCAAGGCTATTTGATATTAAGAACGTTCGAGACCAAATCCACTCACTAGATGAGAGGACAAAGAGTGCACTAAGAGGACAGAAGAAGACCGAAGAGGATAGAAGAGAAAGACGCGCTAGTGAGAAATCTCTGACTAGCAGCACAGGAGGGAGATTGCCAGTGAGAGAGCTGTCCTGGCCCACTCACTAAGGCACCGGCCTGCAGTTTATAAACAGAGACATTCTTGCCCGCCCACTCAATTTCTTTCTCTTCTTCTTCTTCTTTCAACGCCCACAGTTGTGTCCTTTGCTACCTTTTGTTCTTTTCTTCATCATGGAGCCTACGGATCTAGTCCAGCTACTAGATGAACCCGCCGCCGCTACAAATGCAGACATAGCACCTGACTGTGAGCTACCTGACTATACCACAGGGTCATGGTCTTCGCGACATGGTGCTTCTAAGCCCCGTTTGGTGGGTTCTCCAACAAACTTTGCAGTGGGCTTTCCTGTAGCACCTCCCAATGTGACAACCAGTGACTCCATCAAGTCCCCGCAGTCACCAGCAGAAGAGTGGGAGGGTTCTGGGACCATCGCTTATATTACCGAAAAGTCCATCAAGAAGTTCCTGAATCTGCCTCCGGAGGTCCACCAGCGCCTCCAGCTCGCCAGTGCCCAGCTCGCTGCTGAGCATATGATTGCCAGGAGGGCAGCAGAAGCAGACAGCGAGTCATTTGGCCAGTGGCAGCATAGCCGTCGACTGCCGATCCATATCTCACCAGATTCCGCAGTTCATCAGTATGAGTTGGCTCGTTTCGAGCTTGATCGTCAAGCCGGCCTTGTACCCATGGCGAAACCGGTGCCTACTGTGTCAAAAAGAGTCAAGCCAGAGATTCAACCCCATGAAATGGCAGAATTTCCGTACTTGCATCAGGTCATCTCTGATATTAAATCCTGGAGCATTTCTCGTAGCCGCCTCGAACAATTGGAGGAGCTGCGTATCCTGCTGTGCAGCTGGACTCATGATGCTGTCGTTGACAAAGTGAAACAAAACCAGCAGGGTGTCCAAACCGGACCCTTCTCGATCGCCCTGAAGTGCTTCGGCAGCTATCGCTCAGGCTATGCCCTTGTTGAATCTGAAATGGATCTAATCACCATCGCGGAGAACCTGCCTGCTTATATCAAGCAAAATCTGCCACTTATCATGGCTCAGGTGTTCCAAGCCAATGGCTTTGCATCTTATCTTTTACCCAGTATCGAGCATGACCGCTCCATGTTCCTCCGTGTTTGTCAATGTCCATCCAAGCAGTTCTGCCAGCGGCTTGAATGGGAGTACCAGGACCTAAAAAAAGCCAATGAGTTGAAAGCATTTGCCATCTCACCTCTTGCCTGCTGCGATAAAGGCACCTCATCACTTCATTATAACATTTATTTTGACCGTATAGAGACACTGGCATTCCGGACTGATCTTCTCAGAGGCTATAGAGCCTGTGATGACCGCGTCTATGAAATGACAGTAATAGTGAAGCGATGGGCAAAAGCACGCAAAATCAATAACCCTTATAATGGCACCTTGTCTTCATATGGATATACCCTCATGGTACTACACTACCTGATGAATATCGTAAAGCCGCCTGTGATTCCAAATCTGCATAGATACGCACTACCAGAAGGCGCCACAGAGCAGGATACCTCCTTTACCCGCAGTCTTACGGTGATTTCCCGAGAAGCAGCAAATGGCAACATTACCACCAATACTCAGTCAACTGCCTCACTTCTCTATGGCTTCTTCGCTTACTATTCTTCCATCAGTAACGACCCAGATCTAGCCCCGCGGCATAGATACATGCCCTGGTTCCACTGGAGAGAAGGAGTGGCTTCCATCCGCGGGCCATACACCAAGAAGACATCGAAGGGCTGGGTGACTTACTTCAAGGACGTGAACGGTACTGTACACAACAATTTACTCGCCATCGAGGATCCGATTACAAGAAACATCAATGTCGCGGATAAAGTCACACTGGTTGGAGTGTATTTAATGCGAGACGAATTTGCGCGGGCATTCCGCATTGTCTCTCTTGCCAGACCAATGCCAGGCACAGATTTGGCATGGCAGGCGCCGGACGGGGCCAGATGCGAGGATCTTTTTGCTGAACCAACTGCTAAAGCCAAGCTTTGATAGCACTTTTAAAAGTCTATCCTTTCCTATGTTGTTGTTAATATTCTTCCCCCTTTACTAAATTGCATGCTCATTAAAGTTGGTCACAAAAAAATCAAAAAAGACAAGACACCCAAAAATACAATGCATATGATATTTATTGAATTTATCAATTACCCTGAGTAGAAGCCTTCCTGGCGTCCTCCCACCTCGTTTGTACATGTAGCCACCAGGTTTTTAACGCAGACGAATCAACTCCCAAGCTAGCTAGCCTGTCTGGGTCGGTTATAAACCATTCCTTATTCCTACAGTCTTTCTCATATGCGTTCAGGCTGATACCATCCCACTCATGCGTCTTTAAGCCTCTAAAAAATGCCACGGTCCCGACGGGCGGGTGAAATTTGGCTGCATCTATAAACACGCTCATCGATATTCCCACCGTCCAGTTAGCTGTCATGCTAGGTGGCGATGTAGATGGTAACGAGGACCCAGTAGTCACAGACGAGCGCCGTTTGTCGACAGTTTTGATGATTGTGGGATCGATGAGCCTAAGGTCTCTTTTCGGAGGCATGTTTGTTCGTTTTATCACCTGGGGAGAGATCCATGATATCACTGCTATAACATTGCAGGAGTAGTTCCTCTTGGGGAAGGGTATTCGAGGGGCGAGAAGGTCTGAGAGGGTGAGGACTTTCATGGGGGTGGACATGGCCGTGAAAGACAGTGTTTTAGGTACCGTAGAGGAGCGCGGAGATACTCCTAGGATATCATCTTTGCAATTTTCGTCTTCGATTTCTCCAAGTAGATTAGTATCCTCAACTGCTGCCCTGAATACCGTTGTTTCATCCCTCTCGGCAGATTTCTGCCTCCTCTTCTGTTCCCGTAGGCTATCAACAGCGCCTCCGTCAGATAGTGCGGCTGCATCTCGTTTGACAGATAGATGTTCATCATCAATATTCTTGAGCTGCACGTCTAGTTTGAAGGGTACTGCCCGTCTATACCTTGCAACAGCCAGGAAAACAACTTTGCCAGGCCGTAGACCCTTGGACGTCGGTCTTTTGGCCGTACGTAACTCAAAATCTTGGATATCAAGAACCGTCCCGGGCGTCAGGTCATCCTTGCTGCTGGAGACGAGGACATGCAGTTCGCTCTTGAGCAGAGCCTGTATGGTGTATTCTCCATCACTCAGAAATAGTCTATACGCTTTATACACGGCCTCATGCTTATCATTGTTATGGGCTTCCTCGTCCTTCCGGACGATTACCTCGATAACACGCTCGACTCGAAGCAGCAGCTTGGGCGGTGGGCATTGTGTGCGGATGAGTTCAGCGATACACGGTCTGATCTGAAGCCCTGTAGGGTCCTAGGGGCAGTTAGCGACTTCTATATCTCTTTATTTAATGGTAACTTGAGAACTTACCATGCCAGGATATCCATGGCGTAGGGGAGTTGGTGAGATGTTGATCGTTCGTGGTCGAATCGTTTATCTAACTAATGATATGGCGGACTAACAATAAGTTGGCGTTCTTGGAAAAGGCAAAGAAAACACCGAGTAAACTTGAGCATAACATCATCTATATTGAACTTTTGTATGTACATTATAAACTAGAAAAAGATGAAAGAAAGGTCAAAAGATATCTACGACCTTCTCTTCATCCGCATCGTCAGCCTTCTTCGCCTCGATCTGGAGTCTGGCCTTCTCGATGGCGGCTTCTGTAGCCTCCCCTTCACCCTCCTCGTCTCGCATAATGACTTGCACCAGTCGGTCACAGGCTTCCTGTACAGCCTCGTTGTTGGTATGTAGATGGCACTCCCTGATCAGAGGATAGACCTGAACCCTCCGAAGCATGTCTCTACCGTCCCTAGTCGAGGTCAACAAGAGAAGCGTCTCGAGATGTGCCGTGAGAATGTCCGGGTCTGGATCTCGCTGTTTGTCTGGCGGGAGCAGTTGTAGGTCCGGCAGCATATCTGAGCTTTCCTCGTCGGTGAACTCTTCTGGCCCGGCGAGCGGGAGGAGGATATAAGGCAGCAGATTGACCTGTTCCTCCGACATGAGGACTGGGTGGGAGGAGACATCAAAGGCGACGTTCTTGATTGTAGACGCGACTCCTCTGCGCCGAATCTGGCTGCGGTGCTCGGTGAAAACTGTCAGCTTTGTGATGGGGATTACCGCGTCGTAGGCTTGCTCGGTGACGAAGTAGGCTCGTCCTTCTTCGAACTTAGAGATGTCGGCAAAGAAGTAGGAGAGATAGTCGTATGTCTTGTCCTGATCCTTGTCCTTGTCTCCTCCCTTGATGAAGCAGTCCATAAGCTGGTCCATAGCCTTCTTGGAGGTCGACACTCCTTCCGGCACTGCTCTCTCCAGGCTGACGATACGCTTGATACTGTCTGACTTGGCCAGGTTTGCGAGCAGCATTGTTATCTCAGTTGCTGCCTTTTCCTTTGGGTTCTACCATACAAGCTAACAGTCAGACTATGGCTTGCAAAAGCAGACAGTAATAAGCAAGTAAATAAGACAGACACCTACATACGGTGACTTTCTTCAGGAGGGTCTCGAGAAAGGCATCATCCTCCGCCAGCTCCTTGAGCACTTCGTCGTCCGCCGACAAGTTGATCAGGATGGTCAGCGCATCTTTGGCAATCGGCTAACGGCAGATATGTCAGCTATAACTCCTTGAAACTGCTTCAGGAAAAGGCGTCGGAGGTGTCTGGCGTACTGGGTAGTCCTTGACCAGAAGCTTGAGGTCTCTAACGGGGAGCAGCTGGTGTCGCTTGAAGAGCGCGGGCTGAGAGGCAGAGTAGCCGACGAGGTTCTCGCATGCTATCCGTCCGTCAGTCCGTCAGTATGACAGCACGGCAGTGAGATATAGATATGGGCAACGGGGCGCAAAGAGGCCTACCTATCTGGCGGATCTGCGTGTTTCCATGGTGGAGGAAGTCGACCAGCTGGGAGTCGTTAGTTACTCGGGACAGAAAGGAAGAAAGCAAGAAGACAAACTGACCTCCTCCAGCTCCGTCGGCATGCTGCCTGTCTGTCTCTCTCGACCGGTTGTCCTGATTACTCGACTCTGCAGATGTCCTTCCCGCCGTCTAGTGGGTTGACTATGCAAATCGCTGATCTTCTAGTTAACTCCTGTGACGAAAATTATTCAGTGCGGGAGCCGCATTTTCAAACTTCTTGGCCAGCGTCACTAGTTATTTCGACTCCTTCTAACTGTCTCGCCAACAGGGCGAATTTCCCGTCTTCTTCCTCTTTTTTTCAGCAGCAAGCTAGGTTTGAGCTTGATGCTTGACCTATTACAAGATCATGGCCTTATGGCTGGCTGCTTGCCCATCAAGATACCCCTGAGACACTATATCTAGCTAGTTACCAGAAACCGTGACCACATCCAGCTGCGTAACGACAAAGGCTCGACGAGGGCAGGCAAAGGAATACATGACAAACGAGAGTCTGGACGCATCTCTGAGGCATTCTACCATGGCTCAAGGGTGAATAGCACCGGCATCGCGACTAGGAAGCTCGTTTGCTGGGCTAGGTTGCATATCTTTTCAAGGGCAGATACCGTCACCACAAAGAACAACAGATATACTCATTTTATCAAGGCTTGAGAGTATGTCCAAGCACTTCTCTAACGAGGCAGTGAATGGACAGCTGACGGCTGAGGTCAGGGCATGTTCTGTGAGATGCTGGAGTGCCACAGAGAGATGACGGTGGGATGGGGAAGCGTACCAGCAAGGGACAGGGTCTAATAGCAACTGCGTAGCGAAGCATTTTACCGGTCAATGCAATATAAATATAATTCCACGTTCGCCAGGTGGTTTCTCACAGTTACACCAATAATCGAGCAGGCCAATTGATCTCAGGGGTACCTTGTTCTGTTTTATTACATCTCAAGATTCAGCGCTAGTTTTTGCTAGTCTCTTAGATATTATCTATCAAGGAAAGAAAGATTTCGATAACTATATACAGAGACCGGTTTTTTATTTTAATTAATTCTCTTTGGTATACACGGATGAAAACGCGGTTGTTGAACGATAGACGCAATCCAAATGACAGGGCCAGCCTCAGCCTGGCCCCGTAGTTATTTATTCCATCCAAATAATGCTATCGTTATAAGACATAATCGACTCCCGGAGACGGCCAATCCAAAGAAAAGCGGATAAAACGGATATGAAAGGACAGAATACATGAGGAGAAAGAAGAGGGAATCAGTAGTAGCAAAGTAAAAGAGAATAAGAGAAATAGTACAAGTCAACGGCCGCTAAAAGCTCACAAGGACTCCCGGAATACGCCTTTCTGTGCGTGAGCAGAGCCCTCGCCAGCCGGAGGCTCTGGCCGTGGGCTCACACTCCTCAAATTGCTCCCCTCAGCATGATCCCCGAATGGATTAGCTGGGTCATCTCCTTGTCCCAACTTGACAGGCGACGGATCACGGTTTAGATTTCTTCCACGGCTTGCTTCATAGCCCGCTCCGGGAGCAAGACCACCATCGTACGCAGATGCATTGCGATCGTATCCACCAGTGTGTGGCGCAAAACCGAGTTCCTGCTCCTCATAATACCCAGGCGGGCCGAAACCACCATCTCGCTCAGCGGCGCCCATGCGCGTGTCCCATGGCTCATCCTGTTCAGAAAGAGGCCTGCCAGCGCCGCCTCGGTAGGCTCGTGGCTCAAGATGGTCTTCGTACGATCCGTGGTGTGTTCTGCGATTGCGCAGGGCTGCAATTTTGTCCTTGAACCAGCCTACTATTCCACCGCTTCGGGGAGTCGGGTAGTTTGCGTCGCCATACGATGCAGGAGAGGATGTGAACGGTAGGTATGATTTCAATGGTGGTGGAGGGAGACCGGCTCTCCGGGCGCGGATCTGGGAGTAGCCTATCCAGCCGCCATACGCGAGAAGAGCGAGAATGATGATGAGGATGAGCCACCCGAACCACCGCATCGTGGCGATGTGTCTGGCTTCAAGATTCTGATAATCACGTTGCGGTTATGCTTGGGCAGCGTTCGGGTTTGTTGTTTCTTGTAGTTGGGAATAAATGGCGAGTCCACAAGTCCAGAGTCCAGCTGACCAAGTGACAGAAAGGGGAGATTGTCATAAAGATATAAAGCCCGACAGTCAGGCCGTAGGTCTCTCGCGCAGTGAACACCAGCTTGTCTCGGAGCCTTTCTGTTTCTTTCTTTGATGTTGATCGTTCGTCAGCCGTTTTGATATGCGCAGCCTGACGGGAAGGAGGATGAGATTACGTAACTGAGTTTTTATTAAAACCTTGGCAGGAGCCGCATGCTTGGTCATTAAACCTTACGTTCGCGATAAGCGATAAGAGAGACATCAATCCATGTATATATAGCGGGACAATATATTACGAGTTGAGTAACAGGAGAGAAGAGGGAGAAAAAGAAAGTAGTTTTGATATATAGCGGGTATATGTAATTAATTGACACGGTTATCGTGCTGAGCGTAAGAAGCCAACAATGCCACGACAGTAGCTGACCAGATCAGCCAGCCGCTTGGCTTCGCTCTCCTGCTCAGCCTTCCACTCTCTCAGAGCCTGCTGCAAAGCCACATTCGGCCCGAAGATGGTCCCGTTGCCCTCGGATGACTGGGGCCCAACCGCTGCTTCGACGGCATCGTCGTGGACACGCAGAAAAACAGCCATCCATGTGTTGACCAACTCAAAGTCTCGCTTCTGGCGGAGACGCTCCGTCAGCGCACGGACAAAGAGGGCTAGCTCATTATCCTGGCCATCCTGGCTCCTTGGATCGAGTGAGCGTATCTCTAGATCAGTGTTTGCTGGGGAGAGCAATTTCAGGTACTCGATAAATGGAGTGAAGTCATCAGCTTGTCCAGCGGAGTGCAGCAAGGTTGTGAACTTCGATAACTGCCCACCTGCAGATCCGTTAATTCGCTGTATCCGCGCAATGCGGCTCCTTTCAGCTTGGAGACTGTTCCTATCGTCTTCATCCTGGTCTGCAGAGGCATTGCCTATACTTGCTGCACCGGATGAAGATTTTGATTCGATAGACGGCAAGAAAAAGGGAGCTTTCTTTGGTTTCTTCGGGGCTTCCTTCGGCTTATTTCGTTGCTATAGCCATATATTAGCAGACGGAACTATGAATGAGGAACTAATGGTTATAATAATAACCAGCATACCTTTATAGTGTCAAGGTGCAGTAGGGTCTGCCATCTGGTCTTTGGAGTCATGCTCAAAGTCATCATGTTATGAGAAAGCTGGTCAGGGGTAAGCACAGGCTGTTTCTGGTTATCTGGCAACTCGCTTTCATCAAAGGCTGCCTCTATCATAGCAACTCCGCCCTCTCCTGATGCGGTTGGAGCTTCAACCACTACAGCTGTATCTTCCTCGATATGTCTTGTCGGAACATGCATAAATAGACTCTTATTATTCCAAAGGTTGATCCCTACGCTCTCTGCATGGGCCGTAGCAAGGAACTCGCCAGTGCTTGAAAATGAGAGGGCAACACATGTCTTCTTCAGCCTAAATGCATCAATCAGATGGCCAGTTGGCAGATCCCAGACGCGGATAACCGAGTCCATGGAGGCAGCAACGATCCAGCGTCCGTCATTTGAGATGCTAAAGTCGTTAACCTGGCCAACACATCCCCAGAGCTCACGGACTAGCTTTTTCGTCTGAATGTCGATTACACGGATGGAAAGATCGTCACAGCTGAGAGCTAGAAGGTCACTGGTGCTGCTGAACCGTAGGCCGGTGATGGCACACATAGGATTCCAATCTAATTCATCCAGATGTTGACCCGTAATCAAACTCCAAAACTGCTCAAATCAGCAACAATGACACACACATATATAGCTCGAGCAACAGGTATATACCTTAACTTTACCATCAAGTCCACAAGTGACAACAGTAGTGTTTAAACTGTCAACTACAATGCCTGTGATGGCTTTGGTATGTTTAGCAGACTTCTTCGTATCGAATTCGTTCTCATTTCCATCAACCAGTCGTTGTAGTTTTGCCTTCTTAGCTTGGGCGGGCGTCAGGCGCGGTGGGAATGACTGTCGACGGATTCCGGACTGCAGGTTATACATGACTAGCGAGCCACCATCGGAACCAACCAAGGCGAATGTCCCACATTGAGACATGGCAACACTCTACAAACGCATTAGTGAATTCAAAAAACACATACACATGCAGGGACAAATAAAAATGACTGGGAATGTACCTTCACCTCAGTACCGTCACCAGTCTCCAAAGCCCAGCGGCCGGCCTTCTTCTTACCCCAAATCCATGTACGCGCAAACTTGTCACCTTTATGCCCAGTAACAATGCTCTCCCAGCCGGTCATGTTTGTGTTCTCGGCACTTACGGCCTTCGCATTAGCCCATATGGGTCCTCCAGCGGCTGCTCCCATGCCACCATCTCGGTTCAGAGAGCAAGCCAAGCATGTTATTTCAGGAGCTTTCAATTCTTCATAACGAATTGTTTGCTGGCTGCCAGACGTGCTTGACGTGCCAATCTTTTTGGCTTTGCTCTTTACATTTCCCTGGGAGAGCTCTGTATTCTGGGAATCCTTGCGCAAGCTAAAACCAAACAGGCTACGGTCCTGGCCAGCGCTCAGCAGCCATTTGCCTACTACTTCAGACCCATCGGATCCCGAGGGAACAAACATGACTTTCGTAATTGGCGCGGAGTGGCCGGATCTGGCATGAAGTGGTCTTGGGATTGGGGAAAAGGGAGTCTGGTCGAAGATCCAGGTGCGTAGGGCATTGTCCGAGCCGGTTGAGACCATGACTGGCTGACCAGGCAGGAACTCGACTTTGTTTATCTGCACACTCCTGTCTTCTCCAGATGGTTCATGCGCATTTCTCAAAACACCAGTCACACGACCGCCGTTATTCAGATCCCACATGACAATATCACCGCCGTCAGCACTAGCAGTGGCCATTACACCATCCTGCCGGCCATCCTCCCCAGCCCCAATTCTGTCTGTGCGGAAAGAGATAGACGTTATAGGAGCGCTATTGGTGAGTCCAGGTTTCTTCAAGCAAAGCACGGGCTTGTCTGTTCGGATATTATGTATGACTAACGATCCGGATGCATATGCGATTGCGAGGAGAGACAAGGCTGGAGACGGCTGCAATGCGCTGACTGCACCTGCGCCTGGAAGAGTAGGGAGGACTGAATACACCAATTTCCCGGTAGACACATTCCAGATATCGACGCAACCGTCAGAACGTCCAACAAAGACCTTGTTCAAGTACGTAGGCATGGTACATAAAGTACTAGGAACTAGCTTAGTAAACTTCTTGGTGGCCGCAGGAGTAAGGGTTGTATAATGGGAGTAATCTGCCGATTTCCACACGATGATACAATTGCTGCAGCATCCAACAATCCAGGATCCAAAGACGACTAATCGATCCACCGATTGAACAACAGACCCCGGGGCAATGGAAGGCATCTCCAGCTGAGCCACCTTCTTACCACGCTTGAACACCCAAACACCGCTCTGCTGAGCCGCTGACTGGCCGCCCCAGGCCGCAAACACACGGTCTCTCCATGCATAGGTCGCTGTAATCAAAGTCGGTGTCTGTGGCCGGGTCAAGAAGACAAGACTGAGACCTCGTCGTAGGTCATACGTCTGCAAGGACTGGCCAACTGAAGTTGTTATTTGAAAGGTTGTCTTGCCTAGAGGGATCGAGGTAAACGGAACGGACGTCGACGAAACAAGGCCCAGAGTCTGCAGTCATGGAGTTAGCCTCTATACATGTATCTGTGTATCCATCCAATTGTATATCAAAAACAGCTTACTCTGAAAGGGGTGAAGATGCGAGATCCGTCTGGCGCGCGTGAATGGCTGGACTTCTCCGTCACGACCTTCTGGCGTTTCGCCAGTGGCAGGTCAAAAGCCTCGTTCGCCATCTTCAGCTCGTCTCGATATGCCCTCTTCTTCTTTGTCTTCCTTCTCCTCCTCTTTCTCCCCTTCTTCTGCTTTTCCTTCCCGGCTTCTTCGTTTTGAAGCTTCAGTGAAGTGAGAAAAAAAAAATAAAAAAGACGCTGAGTCAGCAAAAAGCTTGGCGCCGGCTGTGCCCTAAAAAGTCGCCCCTTTGGGAAATCATCCAGAACGTCAATTTCGACTTCAATCTCAACTTTTCTTCTTCTTCCGCGTCGTGATCTTCATCTTTGCTTCTTCCTCGCCGTCGATTGGCTTGTGTTTCATTGCTTTTTATTAGTCTGCGACCTGGAGGCGAGCCAGTGGGTAGCCCTTTTGCCGCAGTTGGGGTTGGGATTAATTATTGTTGTAATAAAATTCATAGATGAAACGACGGCGCTTGTTCCCTAGCTAGTTTGATCACTCATCCAGCTGCGAATTGCGAATTCAGCATCAAACATCACCAGCCACGAACCAGACGTGCAAGGGAAAGCCCAAGCAACGCTTGCAGGGACTTCGGCTAAGATCAACAAGCCCTTCCCTGCTAGCGGCACCCCACGTGGCGAAGGACGGCCATCAGGACAGAGTGGACAGGTGAAGATTTCATTTCTCAAGTCCGCTGCGTTTTCCTCTGCCGAAAGTCGATTTTCTTCTTCATATCCCTAAGGATATAAGCTCGTAATATCGCCGGCATATATATACAAACGATTAGATTGTTCCCATGCAAGCTGACGTCGATGGCCAGCCGGACGAGAGTCCACTATGCAGCAAGGATCGGGGTACACCAAAACAAGAGCCAGAGCCAGGACAGGAGACAAGAAGAGAGATAGAGACGGAAACAGGGACTCTGCCTGCCCGGTCGCCAGACACTGAGTCGACGTTATTGGAGTTGATCCCTCAACCTCCTGCTGTCCCATCGTCACCTCCGCAGCCACTCTCGCAATCACAGCCAGAGCCGCTCGTACCGCCTATTGAGCAACCGGTAGACTCCTCTTACACCTCGACATATCAGCGCAATCCCCGCTACTTGACCGATCGCGACGGCAATCGGGTGTCCTTTTCTTCCCTTTACTCGCTCACCTCCAGCATCCACTCTACGCCTGGGGATAGAGAAAGAGCTTCCAGCACCGCAGTTTCTAGTATTGACGGCTCCGGCAAACCGCGCTCTATCATGGATGATCAACGGAGTGTCTCTGCTGGGCTTTCCACTCGGCCAGACTCTTCATTACACACACCCTCCGGTTACTCTGGGCAAGGCACATCTTCTTCGCCCGGATCAACATCTCCAGGTCGGTCTTACTACGTCGGGCATCGTATTAAAGCTCAACTCTGTTAACATTGAACATAGGCCTCACCCCCTCATTTCAACACCATCTAGCGAAGCCGGAAGATAGCCGGTCTCCGGCTTGGATTTCACGTCCTGGACGCTCGTCAAGCAAACAACCTCGACGTTTTAGTGCTAGTACTGGCGCAAGCAGTGCTAGTGAGGCAGAAGGTACAACACCACCATTGTTCTCAAGGGTTCTGGTTCCTGAGGGGTTACTAATCGATACAGTGCGTCTCCCCCTCATAGGCAGAATTGGAGTTTGCGCTCTTGATGTCAAGGCACGCAGCAAGCCTAGCCGCAACATTTTAACTCGTCTTCAAGCAAGAGGTGACTTCGAGGTCATTGTATTCGGAGACAAAGTCATCCTGGATGAAGGTTTGCTACACCTCCTAAGTGCACGTTTCCGTTGATAAAATTTTTTAACTAATTATTATAGATGTCGAGAATTGGCCGGAATGGTATGTCAAAGATTTTCAACTTCCTTTAAGAAATCCAGAATTAATTTAATCACTTGCAGTGACTTTTTGATTGCCTTCTTTTCCGACGGATTCCCTCTTGACAAAGCCATTGCATATGCAAACCTCCGAAAACCATTTTGCATTAACGATCTTCCCATGCAGCAAGTTTTGTGGGACCGTCGATTATGCCTCCGCATTCTGGATCAAATGGCAGTCCCAACACCCAAACGCGTGGAAGTGAACCGCGATGGTGGACCAACGTTGGCGTCGCCTGAACTTGCTCAGCATGTTTATAACTTAACCGGAGTCCGTTTAGAAGGTCCACCAGATGGCACTGGGGGTGGAACACCACGAACGCAGTCGGTGACAATGTCTGAAGACGGAGAGGCTCTCATTGTTGACGGCAAAGTGTTCAAGAAACCATTTGTAGAAAAGCCCGTCAACGGAGAAGACCACAACATCCATATCTACTTCCCTAATGACCAAAATTACGGAGGTGGAGGCCGCAGACTCTTTCGCAAAGTAGGAAACAAGAGTTCGGAATATGATCCTGACCTGAAGATCCCAAGATCTATAACTGAGCCAGACGTCAGCTACCTTTATGAGCAGTTTCTACGCGTTGATAATGCGGAGGATGTTAAAGCATACACTGTTGGCCCTGACTACTGCCATGCGGAGACTCGCAAGTCTCCCGTTGTTGACGGCTTAGTACGGCGGAACACTCACGGCAAGGAGTTACGCTATATCACTAATTTAGGAAAAGAAGAAGCCGCTATGGCCTCAAAAATATCCAACGGCTTTGGCCAGCGCATTTGCGGTTTTGACCTTCTTCGTGTTGGAGATGCCTCCTTCGTTATAGACGTCAATGGCTGGTCCTTTGTTAAGGATAATAACGATTATTATGACAAGACCGCGAATATTCTTCGAGATATGTTCACTCGTGAAAAAATGCGCAGGGACGGGAAACTTGGCGTTACTGAGCCTGCGAAGGATTCATCCTCAAGTATACCACCCGCGATAAATTCTGGGTCTCATCGTCATACTCTTAAGTCGCTATTGAAGTCCCCAAGCATTGCAGGGCTTCAAAGCGGTTTCTCTAGCCACAAGCACCCCGCCCAAACACCAAGTACCAAGAGCACAATCACCTCTAAGGTAGAGACGGACGTTTTGCATAGGAATCCGAGTCATTCTGAAGGCCCTGAAAAGGCAACCTTGAGCCCCGATACCCAACCAACTAGCGAGCCATCACAACAGGTAGAAGCGCCTACCGCTCCGCCACCATCATCCAAACACTCTTGGAAACTCAAGGGTATGGTGGCCGTGATACGGCATGCTGACCGAACTCCCAAGCAGAAATTCAAATTCACCTTCCATACCCAACCATTCGTGGATTTGCTCAAGGGTCATCAGGAAGAGGTGATCATCCGGGGGTCTACTGCGCTCCGTAGCGTTACTAACGCTGTAAACCTCGCTTTAAAGGAAGGCATTGAAGACAAAGAAAAACTCATGCTACTAAAACGCTCACTCGATCATAAGGTTGAATGGCCAGGGACAAAGGTACAAATAAAGCCTATGTTTCGTCGTCGAAATTCACAGGAACTACAAGGAAGCCGTACTCCTCCTCCTGTCTCACCCTTAACTACAAGTGAAATACCACAGGCCCCTGCCTCTCCACCAGACTCTGCGGACCCTGAGCACCCACGTGTGGCCCGCAGTGACTCCCTCTCGGGACCTACCTTTTCTCGATTTTCAGCTGTGGAAAATGATCTAGTCCTCGACAAACTGCAATTAGTCATAAAATGGGGCGGGGAACCGACCCACGCAGCTCGATATCAGTCACAAGATGTCGGCTTGACGATGCGTGATGATCTTAAGCTTATGAATAAGGAAGCATTGAACGATGTTAGGATGTTTACAAGTTCAGAGCGCAGAGTTAGTACAAGTGGTAAGTATCTCATCACGATAGAGCCACTTTTGTGTGCCATATCTAACCGAATACAGCCCAGATATTTGCTTCGACTTTTCTCGACCAGAAGGACCTGCCGGATGATTTCATTCAGGTGAGAAAGGATTTACTAGATGATTCAAACGCGGCAAAAGACGTGATGGACAAGGTGAAGAAAAAACTCAAGCTGCTTCTTCGAGAAGGTAACTCGGCCCCTCCTCAATTCGCATGGCCTAAGGAGAACTTCCCGGAACCCTCCATTGTATTATCCACATTGGTCGAACTTATGAAATTTCACCGCTGCGTTATGCGTCATAATTTTCAAAAGATTGAGGCCAACGGCAATTCCCATCCCGGTGCGTTCGGATCCTCGTCACCTACTGAAAAATCGCCATTCACCGATATCCAAGGCCGATGGTGCGCTGGTGAAGATCCACAACTTTTCAAGGAACGTTGGGAGAAACTATTCAAAGAATTTTGTGACACTGAAAAGGTCGATCCAAGTAAATTATCGGAGCTCTATGATAGTATGAAGTTTGATGCACTACATAATCGGCAGTTTTTGGAGTGGGTCTTCCTCCCGCCAGACGATTTCATCTACGAGGGTGAGACTGATAAAGAACGGGCTGGTCATGTCACATCTTCACACTTCTTGGAGCTTAATGGTAATTCTGAAGGCAACGGCACGAACGGTACGAACGGCAAGCTCAGGCCCCCTGCTGGTCTATTAGCTCCTCTTGAAGACTCTTATGACTCCTACTTCAAGCTATACCCTGGCTCGACGCCCTCAAAGCCAAAGATTGACAAACGCCTCTCGCGCCTTAAGCATTTGTATAGCTTGGCTAAAGTCCTATTTGACTTTGTAACGCCCCAGGAATACGGTATAGCTGACCATGAAAAGCTGGAGATTGGGCTGCTCACTTCACTCCCACTACTCCAAGAGATAGTGATGGATCTGGAAGAGGTGCAAGCATCTCCGGATGCTAAATCATTTTTCTACTTCACCAAAGAATCCCACATTTATACCCTCCTCAATTGTATTCTTGAGGGTGGACTGAAGACAAAGATCGCACGGCGGACAATTCCAGAGCTGGATTATCTTTCTCAAATATGTTTCGAACTTTACGAAGCTCGTGATGCAGAGGCCGAGACCTTCGCGTACTCCATCAGAATCTCAATAAGCCCAGGATGCCATACGTTCGATCCATTGGACGTTCAGCTCGATTCCAGACATGCAATCGGATGTGCACCCCGAAGAAGCCTAACGGCGCATCAAGATTGGAAGGAAGTGATTGAAACACTAAAGGCAAAGTTTGATACGTAAGTATTTTTCACTGAACTTAGGCAATGATTCACATAACTGACTAAAGTACTAGCGTCAAATTGCCCAAATCATTCATTGCAATCAATCTTAGTGACAAACATGCTGCGGCTCGCGAGGAAGAGCAAACTTAACTTGTTCTACGAGCCACGTATCCACGTATGCCTTTTTGTTTTTCACTTGAAGTGTAGCTTTCATATCTTTGTTTCTTTTTTTTTTTTTTTTCATTCTAGTTTGTGTTTTGCTCTTTTTCATTGTATAGTTAATAGCATACCGAAGAACATATAGGAACGGCTGCATTTCACGGTGAGAATACGAATGGGACGGCTCGGGTGGTACTCTGCTTTTATTGTTTTGTGCATGCATATTAACGCCAGGTGGTTGGCTAGACGTGGAGGGTAATAGACGGGCGACCGATTCGCAGGAAGATTATGCAAGGTATATGGGAATTTCATACAATCCACCTTCTACTACTACATTTATTCATTGATCCCCTTATTGTTCATCCATTAGATATAGTAGTTTATTGTGTACCATACTGGAGATAGTAACTAGTTCAATGTTACACACAGTATGTATTCTGTTGACTTATTATATTACATTTTTTAAGCTCATAAATGATGAATATGTAAAGAGTTAATATACATATATAGAAAGAATCTTGCCTAAATCTAGCTCTTTGGCTATTTTATTTTTCATATAATCTATAGAATAGTAGCTTCACAACCTTAAATGAAGTCCATCGTGGCTATCTAGTCTCCCATTCATAATAGCTCTATAGCTGAAGAAAGAACTATAATATAATAATGATATATACCAGCTGCAAATTTCAATGTAGTTACATAGCTAGTTGACAATCCTTTGTGTAAACAAAGCTACTCGATATTTGTAATTGAGTGATCGTGAGAAGCTTGAGGAGAGGTAGAGAATATTGGGTCCTTCACCGTTTTGCCCTCAGCAGTCAGATCATGAAATCTATATAAACCCGGCTTGCTCTCTCTCTGGCAAAGCTTTTCTATCCATCAGCCAACAATACAACATCCTCGAACAACCTTAAGACAGCATTTTCTACAATACTTCAACTACCACAGCACTACGAATTCTCAAACAAGCAGAATGAAGATCTCATCCCTTTGCGCACTTGCAATGACTTTCCTGGTCTCTGGAACTGCCATTGCTGGCTGTGTTGAGGCCCAGTGTGATGCGAGCGTAAGCAGTTATCTTACATTAGTTGACATTTGAATACCAGCCTAGGCAGCTAACAAGAGTGGATTGTGTCTAGTGCCGTAGAGAAGGCTATACCGGTGGCACCTGTTTGAAGAATGCCGGCTTCTCGTAAGTGGATGATCTGCCCTTGTCCCAATCCAAAGAGAAGCCAGTACAGCACAGTTGCTAATGAAAAACCATCCAGATACTGTGCCTGCCGCGGTGCTCGTCCTCCAGGCCGCCGTCGCTAGACACCTTGAAAACCAACAACAACGACCTTTCCCCAATTGATCTCCCTTATAAACCATGACAGCGGGAGATAGCACCAAGTTTGAAGAGAAAAATGGGATTTAACTCCTTTACTTAGCTAGCTAGTTTCGGGTTGATGAGCTGTTTCGGTCGCTTATATTTCAATAATTAAGTAGTTACTTACAATCCACTGGCTTGAACTATTTTCTTTTGAATTTGTCACCCACTCGTGCTTTGCTATACAAGAAGGGTATTTAGTTACTCAAATCAGCTCCTGGAATTGCCTGAAAAGAACTTGAGAGCTATTTAGCTTATCAAGGTCCTCCAGTGGGGACTGAGCCGCCAGTGGAGCCGCGCTCATGTTAAGTTTTCTCGTAATATAGCTAAAATCAACCTCATACTCTTCAACTACTGGTCACAGCAGTAAATAAAGGATTTAGAATCCGAGGGTAGGAATAGTATTTAAGTGGTACTATATTGCATTAAGTGTTGCCCTCTACCCTAATCATTCTTGTGATTTAGTCTAGAAGCATAAAACCAACAGGATCATCGATCTAGGAAGCTATGAACATATAGAAGAAAAAGGAAAACATGAATTAAAGAACATAAGATAATGAAATTTTTTCCCCTCCATCACAAAAGGCCGTAAGATATGCATGCAGGGCGAAGAGTCGCTTAGATAGACGAAAGGCTGAATCTTTGTTCAACAGGGAATATGGACCTATTATGGAGAGTCGGTAGATTCAGTTGGGGTATCTTGGGGTTCTTCGTATTTATCCCAGTTTGCCAAAATATTTCCAATACGGGGTGAGTTTGTAAGTCGGTACACATCTTCGAAATATTCTCTTGTGAGCTCAAACGGGCGAGCGGTAACATTGGGGATGTATTTGCCGATCAATTTGCTTGGATCAATGGTTGTCTTATTAATCTTCTTAAGCAAGAAAGATCGGAAGGGCTTGACACCGGAGCGAAGGAAAGTGCTGTGGAAAGGCACATCGATACCCTTGAGTGGAATGGTTGCGAATCCACGCTCGAGAACAATAGGTTGTGGCTTGGCATTTGTCTGCTTCACGCATTCGTCAATGATTTGAACGAGGTGTGATTTAACGTCTTCGAGTGACATAGTCTGCATCAGAGCAGGAATATCGATCTTTTGGGCCTTTAAGACATTCAAAACGTTTGTCAAACTGTCAAGTGCTCGAAGCTGCAATGAAATTAGTATATCAGTCTTGAAATAGTTGTAGCCTTTTTCAGGGTAAACTTACATCGCCAGCACAGACATACTGCATGTTTGCCACGTTGTAGTTGACAATCTCAAGCAGCCAGCCTGTAGTCTCTGAAACATTCTCAACTACGTACTGAAGTGCCTGTTCATTGAAGGTCTGGGAGATACGGCTGGGGTTAACTGCGCACATGGAGTAGTTGGAGCGACCCTGTTCATCACGTTCCACTGCAACTTGCATCGTCAAACCACGGTAGAACACGACGGAAACCAGACTCTCAATTGGCATGACCTCAGCAAGGGCAGCAAGTGCAGAGTATTCTCCCAATGAGTGACCTGCGAAACTGCTGTCTCTCTGGACAAGGCCCTTGGAACGCATGTCTTCGAAGCTGGCTTTCTCCATCAGGGTGAGGGCTGGCTGAGTGAACTGAGTGGCGGACAATAGCCCAGTAGGTGACTTGTACGTATAAGAAGCTGTCTTCTCATCAACTTCCTTGAATATCTTCTCAGACTTTATAGATCCATCAGCGTTGACAGTTTCAAAGGTCATCGACATATAGTTCTGTCGAATGTTCTTTCCACGAGGCCCACCGAAATGTACGGTCAGCTCTTGAGGATTATTCTTGACAATGTCAATGATAGAGAAACCGTAATTCTCCATGAAATGGCGATCCGCGCGGTCCCATACTTCCTTAGCAACAGGGCTGGTAGCGTAAAGGTCCATACCCATGCCCTGCTCTTGAGAACCTTGGCCGGTGAAAACGTATGAAGAAACTGGCTGCTCAACTTCGGCCTCACCGATCAATACTTTCTCCTCAGTGTTTTGGCTGCTGGTCTCGACCTGGATGATCTTGCGACCAGCAATCATACCAACATGCTGAAGCTTGACAACTAGGTCATCATTAGGAAGGACCATCCCGACAAGGGAAGCATGGAAGCTGCGAACACGGCCGATATTGTTTTCGGCAGCCCAGGTTTCAACCAGACTTCTGACAGCAGCACTAGTATACATGCCGTGAGTGATGGTACCTGGCAAGTTGGCGTAGCTGGAGAAAACTCTGGAGACATGGATTGGGTTATAGTCACCAGAAACCCTAGCATACGTCTCATTAGAGGCAGGAGCTTTGAGAACCAAAGGAGACTTGCTAAGCGGGATTGGATTTTCGAAGTTGACCGGCTGCTCAATAGCGGAACCATGACGCTGCAGATAGTCGATCACCGGGTTGCCGTGAGAAACACCGGCATCGTAGTCAACCGATCCCACCTGAATAATCTCTTTGGTAGGGAGTTCAACCAAGACCTGACCCGTTGTCTGCATACTCTGGAAGACAGTCTTATCCTTGTAGCGAACCAAACTCTGAAGGCGGAAAGTGAGTGTTTGGCCCAAAAGTTCAACATTACCCTCATCCAGACGGAACCACTCTTTCGATTGCAAGACCGCTACATCCTTCGAAGTAGCTAAATGTACTTGCATTGGGACTTCGTCCTTGCGTAAGAATGTGGTTTCATAGTCAGTGTAGTTACCTCGGTACAGGAACTGACTGGTAACGTGCATGATTGGTTCACCATCCCTCTTGATGGTTCCACAGACCTCAACCATCTTACCAGAGTCCTGGTTAACGATAGCATTAATTTGAGCTGTCGTATCAAGAATGTCGCCGACCTTGAGCGGCTCCGCGCCAGGAACCATCCTGAAACCGTTGGACAGATGGACAAGCTTTAATAGGTCACCATCGATAGTACGTGGAAAAATTGGCTTCGTAATAGCTTTCCATCCTGCAACGATAGCGAAGTCCATAGGTGCAAAGGTTTCCTTTCCTTGACGTTCGACGAAGGCCTCACCCGTGTTACCAACAGCATGAACGAAGTCCGCAATGGCTTGGGCAGTGACAGTAGTACGTCCACCATCAAAGATGGCCGCCGCTGGAGTATCGAATGGAACTGTGCGCTCGCCAAACCACACACGGTAGTAAAACTCCTTAATACGATCATTGCGTCCTTCCATGACTTCTCGAATGGGAGCATAACCGGTTTCTGGGTGGTAGGTGAAGTAGAACGGAAGTGGGACAACGCCACTTTCAGCAGTTCGACCTTCGAACAATGTGAGTGCAATTCGGTTCTTCTCTATAAGTCGAATTTCGACAGTTTTGACTAGTTTTCCTGATTGGCATGGCTCACGCATGCTGATAACTGTCTTCAAAGAATCATTTGGGTTGGTTATTTCAACAAACATGCCACGAGTAGGCGCAAGAATGCGCTTGATGGGGTTTGTCTGGAAACGCTGGCCTTGGATGAAGACCTCAGTGGTAAAGAGGGCATATCTCCAAGAGTAAATATTGCCAGCCAGGAGATGAAGCCATCGGTCAAGTTCAGGAAGATTGGCCGAAGGGGAGGACGAAAGGCGATAGGAAACTCGAGTAGCATCCTCGGAGATAATTAAGCCATCAATGTCGCGATCTTCATCGTCAACAAGAGCAAGTCGACCACCGAAATATTCAACGGTAGGTACCTTAGACTCATCACCATTGTAGACATCTTGGATAAGGCCCTTGATATGGTCTTGGTGGATACCATCCAAGATGCTCTTGATTGGTTCATCGATGACGGTTGAGTATTTAGCAGCCATAGGACCTTGCAGAATACAAACACGGCCAACATCCTGACCAACCACGGCCTCAATATCCTCTGATTGCCAGAGAGAATCTTTCTTGAACCAAAACTCGAAGTTCTCATCTAGCGATGGCACAAATGGGACTGGCTTCTGTCCTCGTCTCTGGCAGAGCTGAAGGAAGTGCTGTACATCCTGTGCGTTGATGAGTTGATCGGCAGAGGCAGGATAGGCATCGAGGATCTCTTGGACAGTTGGGTAAGGGGTATCAAGCTGAGAGTAAGACTGGAGGAGAGATTCTTGGTTCTTCTCGGTGGTAAATCGCTCTTCAACACGGCGAAGGAAATCACCGGTGAATCGTTTAAGAGAGTCATCAATCCACCTAGCTTCATGTTTGACATACATGAGTTCAACCATGCGGTGTACAACTTCAGCGTAGGTCATGTCCTCCAAATCAACGGTAACACCCTTCGAGTTGCGTCCGAACCACACCTTTTGGAAGTCGTCATTAAGCTTTTTAATTATATATTCTCGGTGTTTCTTAAGAGCAGGGAGTCGCTTGGCCTTATCCAGAGAGAATATCTTTTGGTCCATCTCAGCCCAGAAAAGTACTCCTCTGGTGGCTAGTTTGTGAATAGGTTCTCCCATCTCAGAGCGCACGGTGATGACGCCGCCTGCAGCGCCCTTGTAAGTGTCTTCCCATTTAGCATCGTCGACGCCGGGCGCAGCTACTATTGCCTCCTTGGCAGCCTTGGAGGTGTGTGCCTCCTTAGCAACCATCATGCGACTGCCGAAGAGGCAGCCATCGAATGGCATAGGTGGGTATCCGAACTGGCGAGACCAGCTACCAGTGAGGTATGGGTAGGTGTCTGTGGAGCCACCAAAGCCACTTCCTGCAACTAGAACAATGTTATCACATTTGCGGATACGGCTATACATTTGAAGGACAGGTTGGTGGAAGTCTTCAAAGGAGTGATGTCCTCCTCCACGACCACCAGTCCACTGCAGGATAACAGGGAAACTGGGATTTGCTTTGGCGATATTAATGACCTGTTGGATAGCGTCCAAAGAGCCTGGCTTGAAACCAATGTGCTTGATTCCAAGTGTCTCAATGTATTCATTGGCAACCTCAATGGATGGTACTCCGGCACCAATGACAAGACCTTCGATAGGAACACCGTCGGCACGGAGCTTAGCCAGTAAAGGAATTTGCCATGCCATAGCGCGTGGGTTGACATAGATTAGGTTGACGGTGATACCGCGGCCTGGAGGAATCGCCTTTTCGATCTTTGTGAGAGCTGCTGTCATGGATTTCGCGTTATAGTAGCCACCTCCTCCGAGCTCTATCTGGTATCCAGCGTTCATTGTGGCAGCGACAAAGTCCCAAGGCACAGTAGTCGGAGTCATACCAGCGACCATTATTGGTGGGACACCTAGAAGTCTGCTCATCTTGGTATCTACAAAAGTTTGGCCGACAGAGGTTTTGACAAGCTGGGGCCCATAGACCTCAACCCAGTCGACGGCGTATTTGACGGCATGGTCTTCATCACGATCAAACAACTCAGGTTTGTATCCTACCTCTGCGTTGGTGCCGTCTATAAGACCACCAAGAATGACTCTAACACCAGTACCGTCCTTGTTACGGTTGGTAAGGACACCTAGTCCTGAGATGCCACCTGGACCAAAGTCAACAATGTGGGTAGCCTTGCTGAAAACAGTAGCCTTTTCCCAGTCAACCGGGTCACTGGTGATCATGCGGATCAATGCAGGTACGATATCCTCGTCGCCGAGTTTGCTGATATCCTTGCCAGTGTTCGTATCATAAACAGGGATTCGCAAGGATCGAGCAGGGATTTTGATATCCTCAACGTCCTCAGCTATAGCTTCGAAAGCAGAAGCAAGGTATTGGCTGTGGAAAGGGGCCGTGATGGGCAAGAATCTGTTGACGAAGCGAATCTTTCGCTGTGTGAAGGGAACCCGGTTCTGGTCAAGGCCAGTGGCCGCTTTAACCTTACGGAGACGTAAGTTTAGACCGTACAGGGAGATCGGTGGACCGGTAACAACAAAGTTGCGAGGGCTGTTGACTAAGGAGATGGCGATGTGGCGGTCTTCTGGTAGATGTTGGTTCGTAGCATCAATGTGTTCCTGTACCGCTGACCGATGGAGGTCTCGGATGGACAGCATAGGAGTCGGGACGCCCTCTCCGTTCTCAATGGAGTCCTGAAGTAGAGACGGAGCGAGTGAGGTGCGAGGGTATGCCTGTTGACTTCGAAGGCCGATCCAGAAGAGCATGGTTAGCGCAGCTCTGGCAGCCTTTGCAAACGACTCCCACGTGGTCACAGTGGCGATAGCAGCAGCAGTAATGATACCCTGCGAGTGGCCAGTGGTACCACTAAAGGCATCAAGTACGTCACCTGGCTCTTTTCCCATGGCCTTGCAGGTAGCCATGAAGTGGGCGAGCTGAACAAGGCCGATTAATGGCAAGCTGACTGGCGCAGAGACGAGATAGTCAGTATCTGGCTGGGTATCACGGTCGTGCAACCAACGGAGAATATCCATTCCCTTCGAATAGAGCTTGATCGCATCAAGATCTCTGGCGAGAGACTGCAGCAGCTCCGCCGAAGAGGAAATAAGGTCCTCGACAAATGAAGGGTAGGTGTTGTAAATCTCGCGTAGCTCGTCAAAATATTCTTCAATGTTACCCTGGCCGCCGTAGATACTGTACAACTTCGCGTTCCCTTCTGTGGCAGCACACAGGAGAGCCGAATCGTGGGGCTTTGTGGGCCTGTTCACGGCTGCACGGGCCGCATAGTAGTTTTCTACCATGAGTAGCTTCTTCGCGGGGATGCCGGGTATGGAGCCAGCAACGGCGTGGACATCGTTACCTCGCATAAAAGCACGCTCGAACTCGTTTAGAACGAGTTTAAGAACTTCGATGTACGAGCCCAGGGAGTCATCTTCGCCCTCCTCGACCTCGTGGGCGATGAAGCCAAGGTACCGGGCCACGAGGTCCGGAACGGACGACGGCTCATCGTCTTGTGCTAGCTCGTCAGTGGGCTCAGGGAGCGAGGCAGCAAAGCTGTCTTTGAGTTGTGAGGCATGGAAATGAAGGGATGTGGCCACTAGAAAGGAGAACTCGAGGGATCCGTGGGAGAGATTGAGGGGACGCAGGGACTGCGAGGATCGAGGAGTGTTGATGCCCGTCTGGGGGCCGGTCGAGGGGCCAAACATGACTTTTTCTTTCAGGCTGATTAGGGTAGCGAAGGAATGAAGATGCAGCAAGAGGCGTAGAGGGTCAATTAAGTAGGATATATATGTTTGTATCGTGTTCTATCGTCCCGTTAGCCCTGATCTCACATACTCGTCCAAGCTCGGAGCTCCCCCCCAAAGCTATGGGCCCAAGGTGCGTGCTACTCACCAATGCCGCATGATACCTCTAAGCCATCCAGAAATGAGAGATGCCGTGACGAGTCGTGAGATAAAGACAAAGCCGAGGAGAAGACGAAGGGGAAAATGAAGCCGTGAAGGCGCAGAAGCGAAGATGAGGTCGAAGTTGTGAAATTGAAGTCGAATTAAAGCTGGCGGTCGAAGAAGTTGAGGATTCCCCAATCGAGCATTTTGGCAAAAAAAAAGTAAAAAAAAAGGAGAATTTTTCAAGCGGCGGGGCCCGTTGAGGCCGCGCTAGACCCGAAACGGCAAGGCGCGGTAATTTAACCGCCCCAAAGAATTCAAAACGGTTGAATTTCCAGGGACGAGTGGGACGTCTTACCGTACATGACGCGCGGTTGCCTTGTTATTACATTACAATAGCCGCTCCACATATATCGTCTATGCTGCGGAGTCCGATACAAGCACACAGATCTCTTCCTCATGTTTTCACTATATGGACGCACAGAAAAGAGTCCCAGGTGTCCACTAGTAAAGGAGAGTCCACAATGCCAAAGAAGCGTACGTGCTCGGAGTAGAGCTATCAGCGGCCGAGCTGCAGCGGCAGTCTTTAACCGCAGCGTCTAGATCCGCCGTCACGTTCTTACGATACGCGCCCCCGGAAGTACACCAACTGTAATTTACGCTGACTAAGCCTTGAATTTGTCTCTTTCCCTCCCTTTTTTTTTTCTTCCTTCCCTGCTGTTGGTCCCAAACGGGAAGTCGAGGGAGCTCGTCTTTTCAACCTCAACCGCAGCTCCGACTTTCTTCTTCTTCCTCCTCCTCGTCTTCTTCTCCTGCTTCGCCGACATCTCGACCTCATCCTCAAGCAATTAATATAATCCATCTTTAATTAACGACCCGAACGCTTCTTCTGCTTCTGACCTGCTTGAGGGAGCTTGCTGAGCTATCTACTACAAGGACATGCGCCAGCCCGCTTGATATCCCCTTCGAACAGTGTGATATCCCCCTGCATTTTTCGCGCCATCAGCACGACGCCCTCCTCGCCGTATATAATAATTAGACGATTCTTCCGATTTCTCTCCAGTCTACCGCCATGAAGCCCGAAGTCGAGCAGGAGCTGGCTCACACCCTGCTCGTCGAGCTCCTCGCATACCAGTTTGCCTCGCCCGTGCGGTGGATCGAGACCCAGGATGTCATTTTGGCTGAGAAGAGGACGGAGCGAATTGTTGAGATTGGTCCGGCTGACACGCTAGGTGGAATGGCCCGGAGGACCCTCGCATCGAAATATGAAGCCTACGATGCCGCCACGTCCGTCCAGCGCCAGATCCTCTGTTATAACAAGGATGCAAAGGAGATATACTACGATGTCGATCCAGTCGAGGATGAACCTGCTCCAGCCCCTGAAGCTGCCGCTACCGGGGCTACTAGTGCCCCTGCGGCTCCCGCTCCAGGCCCTGCAGCTGTGGAGGATGCCCCTGCCACTGCAATTGAGATTGTGAGATCGCTTATTGCGCAGAAATTGAAAAAGGGACTGGCAGATGTTCCCCCTAGCAAAGCAATTAAAGATCTAGTAGGAGGTAAGCCACAACATACAATGATGACTCCTTTGGTTTTTAGGACACTTTGACTGACCGATAATAATAGGAAAATCCACATTACAAAATGAAATTTTGGGCGACCTTGGAAAGGAGTTTGGTTCTACGCCCGAACGGCCTGAAGATACCCCTCTCGACGAACTCTCTTCCTCTCTCCAGGCCACTTTCAATGGCCAGCTTGGAAAACAATCCTCATCTCTTATTGCGCGACTGGTTTCTTCCAAGATGCCGGGTGGTTTCAATATTACCGCTGTCCGCAAGTATTTAGAATCTCGCTGGGGTCTAGGTCCTGGTCGACAAGATGGTGTTCTCCTCTTTGCGCTCACCATGGAGCCCGCGTCCCGTATTGGCTCCGAGTCTGATGCGAAAGCCTACTTTGACGACATTACGAATAAATATGCTACTAATGCTGGAATAACACTGTCTACGGCCAAGGCTGGAGGTGACAGCGGTGGCGGCTCAGGAGGCATGATGATGGACCCTGCCGCCATTGATGCCCTCACCAAAGACCAGAGAGCTCTCTTCAAGCAACAACTAGAAGCCATTGCAAGATACCTTAAGATGGACCTCCGCGCTGGAGACAAGGCCTTTGTTGCCTCTCAGGAGTCCCAGGCCGCTCTCCAGGCCCAGCTTGACCTCTGGCAGATAGAGCATGGTGAAGTGTATGCCTCTGGTATCGAGCCTTCCTTCGACC